TGATCAAAATAATCGTCCTCGTCCTCTGAGAGATTGTCTGGGATACTACCACAGGATTCTGCTATCTGATATACTTCTTCTTCCACAAGGTCTAGTGCTTGCTGTATATCTCTTGCTCCTAGTTGTGAATGCCATTGCATTGGCTCTGGCTGGTTTATATAAGTTGCGAAAACCAATAGGCAATTTGAATGACATTACCTTGGGACGGCTAAAGTGTTTGGCCTTGATTGCTCGAAGGAACTTATACTTTAAGTTCCAATGAAAAGGAAGTCGAATGTATTGATGGGGAATAGTGAGAGTGATTGGAGAAATCGGTCCGTCCTTAAGGCTCTGTTGAACTCGGATGTACACCCATCCTTCTGATAATCCAATGATTTTGTCGACTACCCCTGAGTAATGACACATGATTTGAATGGGGGTCCTCAAGAGATATGTGATCCTTGAGTTGAATGGGTCGATTGGAACAGAGATAAGTGGATGTTGCTACCCAGTGGTCTTGACTGTGTATTTTTCCAGAAAATGCCTGAGTAGAACAAATGGCTTGAATGTGGGGAGTCATAGCAGTAGTTCCAGAGCTAGAGATGCTGAAGGTGGATGCAAAATTGTGTACAGATGTCATGACTGATATATAGGAAACAAATGTAGGGTTGGCATGAAGTAGTTTTAAGGGTAATCCTAACTGGTCAATGGGGGTAGTGTGAAATGAAAGACGGTGTTGAAGTAATTGGATTTGCATTTACGTATCATTTTTTAATGTATTGTGCGTGAATTGGAGTTCTTGACAGTACTTTAAAATTTCTTTGTACGTACTGCATCCATTAGTACATAGTGTACGAAACAACGGGTATGTTGCTTAAATCAATATTTTAAAATGGGAAACCAATTGGTGCCCATCATGTCATGTCATATTATTTTGTTCCTGATTGTCCGTTGCGTCAGGCGTGATCCAGATCACAATTTCAGGTTCAAAATATTCATATTTAGGTTAACGAGTATGACCCTGACTGTAAGTACTTATTAAAATACTATGCTTGGCTTGTGTCAAGTGTCAAGTGTCAAGTGTTATAAGGGTTCTCGACACTTGTAATTATATAGCTTAATGACTTTGATTATGTAATGCTTGCATTTGCGCTATAAATTCTCGAACAAAAACAAGATCATATTTGGCCTTAAGCCCTACAACCACATAAGTACATAGTTGTAGCTAGTACAGTACAAACAAGCACGAACAAACAGCGCGAATCGCAGGGAACAATATCAAGAAAACTTCGGGGATAGGGATAGAGGTTATAAGTACAAAAGGGGTTGTGGTCAAAACGAACAGGAACAAATCATAAATGAATCGAGTCGAAATACATAGCAGGACATAGTAAGTAGTTGTACATACACCAAAACAAACTTGACGTGGGAGTAAGGGAATCGATGAGCAAACAAATAGGGTGCACATAGGGTGACTGCGGACTTGCGTCAGTTGAGAGCTCAAATGAAAACCGTGTTACTCACGATACAAGTACAAATTTGCAGCAGCACACAGCAAGAACAAACAACTTGAATCGAGTCGATAAAAGGAACATTGAAACCCTTCGAAACAATGGTAAGTTCGAGAATCGAATGAGCAGCGCATGTACGTACGTACTTTACGGGTACAACATGGTGACACCAAAACGAGGACGAACAATTTGAAGGGGCAACAAACAACATAGTCAAACCTTGTATGCATATAAGACGAAAGTGTGAACATAAAGGGGTGTCTGTGCTTACTTGTACAAGAACAGGCACAAGATAGCACCAGACAGGAAAAGAGCGGGTTGAAAAGATAGGTGGTTGGTCGACGACGCTGATGTTTGAAGTTTGGGACGAGGACGCTGATGAATGGTAATTGGAACTTTGAAAAAGAAAAACGAGTCTTTGAGTATGAATACAACAATTAAAAGCAACAACATGCGTCGAAGAGTGTTGTACATTGTTAGCAAGCAAACGAAACGGGAAACGACACACGAGAGACGGGAGATACAAACGTTCGAGACACCAGTACATGTGAGATAAGACCTGTAAATGAAAAACACTTGCGAAAAGTGTAATGTTTCCAAAAATTACGTGCACTAGGTGCTGCGCTTGTTGAACTCAAAATATCTGGTGTCTTCGAAAACATTCATAGGACCCGGCCGGGTAAACAGCAAAATCTTCTCGGTGCTTTTGCTCGTGAATAGCTAAGAGTTTCCCGATCGATTCGTCGGACTTAATCCGAGTGCTGTAGAGGTGTCGAGTAATAATTCTTGAAGAAGGATGTTGACCACGTCCTCGTCGGGAACAGTCAGCTGTAAAACATGGTCAATAGCACGAGTCGCGTCTCCATAACCGTAAAAATGAAGGTAGCTAGAAGCCAAATGCAAAAAGGTGGCCTCGTGACGTGTGAGAAAAGGATTGCAGAATGGAGCATGCTGCATAAGGAAAGCAGCACGGTTTACCCAAGCAGGGAGCGCATGGTTGCGCTCGATGAGGATGATACATAAGTCATGGTCGTTACAATCTTTAGCCTGTTCAGTAGTTAGTGCCGATTGGACTTGTTTGAGGAGATCGGTGTGAAGACGACAAATACGTCTCCACGCGAAATAGCGGCTCCAAGTCGTGTCGGTCCGCGTTACAACATGTGATGGGTAGTCGGCGTGATTATAGTGATAGATGGCTGGTGGACGATTAGCTAGGTACCTCGATTTTTCCTTACTAACCTCGCGAACAGTGTGTTCCGAGGTTTCAGTAACGATAGAGGCAGCTACTAAGACAATAGAACAGATGAGTGAAACATAGTAAGTTCCGTTTGAAAGGAATGATGGGGCGATAGTCGCGCCCACAGTGCACTCCGCGATACGGTGAACTGATGGCGGTGTCATAGCTAGGAGGGTCAGCAATCATCGAATGGGTGGTAGCGTCGAAAGTAAGGACGTGGATAAAAGAAGGCATTGCATTTGTACTTGGGCCCTTCTTATCCTTGGCGATAAGGAAGTCGCCTAAGGTTTCGTGTGGAATGGGGGGTGCCGTAGGGAGCGCATAGTCGTCCATTGGATCATCTTCGTCAGACGTGTAGTCTGAGCACTCAGTGCCGTAGTCGCTAGAGTCTGTAAGAAAGAAGCCATCTTCCAAGCTGGAAGAGGTGCTGGGAGGAGGAACATGGTAATGGGATGAGTCAGTTGAGGTGACGTCTGATGGAGGGGATCCTGGGATGCGTAGCACTGGGACTTGTTGATTCGTTGAAGATGGGAAATAGTATGGGGTGAACGCACGATCTTGCAGGGTAGGCGTAGCTGGAGCCTCATTCTTCATAGGTAGGGATGTTGGCAAATGTCCTAAGGTAATGGTAGGCGTGAACGAATTAGCAAGGTCCGCATTTTGTTTGGAGAGTAACGCACCATCTAGAACGGCCTCTGCAGGGTTCCCTGGGTGTGAAGACACTTGATGGGCTGCTGGAAGCGAGCCAACCCTTGTGGTATCGGTGGAAAAAGGGGAGTCTACAGCCATAGAAGTCATTTTAGCGAGGCAACGATTAGAGGAAACTGATGCACGGTTAACAGCTCCCAATTCTCCAGACAGAGACTCCAAAGATGAAGATGGCAAGTTATAGAACAGTTCAGCGGATTGGTTAAGGTCATTATTGGCTTGGTGAACTGTAAGAAGCAGGTCTGAGACAGTTGTAAACGAGTTAGGTACTTCATGGTTGAGCATGGTGACAGAGCACACACCTTCAGAGCGAAGTAGCACCAGAACACGCATGACCGGCGGGTCTCAGAATCAATGAAAGGAAAGATGAGTCTAGATTGTCGTTGATGACAGTGGCACCGTATTGTTTAGGGCTGGCCGGTTCAGACTCAAGAGAAGCAAGAGACGTGTCACCAACGCTAGGGATGGTTGTCAGAGTGAGGCCAGCGCTGTTGTCTGGAGGCGTGGTGTCAAGGAATGAATCTAAACAATGGGCTTTAAGTTGTTTAAAGCAGGAACTGGTGAATAACAACGCACTTCCCAAACCAGGAGCCTTGGGCGACTCAGGATCTTCCATTGGGCTATCTTCAAGAGGTATTGTTTCTCCTAAAGCCGGTTCTAGTAAGTTAGAATGATAAGATATAGTAGCGCTGATGGACGCACTATTAGACTTAATGTGGCCTAAGGTGTTTGAAGAAAGGTCGTTGTCAGGTCCAACGGTAGGATTTTGTCCACGTGTGAGAAAAGCTTCTACGGCCACACAGTCTTTTCCTGATTTGGTTTGAGGAGATCAATTAAGCTTCCTGATAGGTCTTTTGATGCTGCGAGAATTTCCCGTGCTAAAATCTGAATCTGGCTATTTAAAATTCAGTCTAATAATAGCCTCGAGTCTGTTTTTGCTGCAAGTTCAGAAATTCTTGGTACATATCTTGGTTCTTCTCGGTTTACAATAGGGGCTAATGCTCTAGACCTTTCATCTGAAACTTTTGTATTAGTCTTGGCATTCCCTTGATTTCCTTTCATCTTCTCTTTCTCCTTAAGTAGTGGTGAATCATCCATTACAATGTCTTCGTCATCATCAGTATTGTAACGTGGTTGCTGAATGGCGACAGGTATTTGACGTATTTCCCTTGGTAAAGCTGATGAAACATACTTCTTTTTCTTCTACCCTCTTAACCTCCATGGGAATAAACTCTCTTGATGGAGGCGCTCCTGGTCCTGGCCGTACTCTAACAGGCTCGGTGATTTGGATCACCTCATGAACTTGAGTTCTTCCTCCTAGTGGGTTAGTTGGTATTACCTTCTCCTCCTCTTCTATTTCTTCTATCTTACTTATTGAATTAATATTGTCATCTGCTAGCCTCTTTGTTTGGCTCCTAGTGACAGGACCAAATGTGCATCTTGCGCTAGCAGGTATATTCTCCTTATTATCTCAATCTTCAGAACGCTGGCGCTGTTCTCTCTTAAGTGATTCTCGATATTCCTTAGCTAGTGGTGGATATGCACCATCAAAGACTTCACATTGTTTCCCTGATCTGTCTTTGATAGTCCTCTCAGCTGGGTAAGCTAGATACTCTATTTCACTTTCTAAATCACTTGCCACTGTAGGAATAAAATATACTTCATGATCACTTGTATCCCGCTCATCTTCAGAGACTATCTTGACAAAATCTGTACTTGCAGGTTGCTGATTACCCTAACTTCTGTTTTCAAGCAGCGGATCCTATCAGCTAATCTTTCCAGCTCTGGGAGAACTATATAGTCAGTCGCCGTACATGCCATGACCTCTCTCCCATGCGCTTCATACTCCTGCTCACGGACAAACAGAGGTATGTTTGATGCTCCCTCAAGAGCTTTGGTTGATGCTATCGTGAGCAGATGTCAGAATGGTGGCAGCCAACACACGAACAGCATGTGTGGCTGATGCCTCTCTTAACCAATACCGCTTCCTCCCGATCCCGACGCCTGAAACATTCAGTGCCAAGTTATTGGATGGATGGTTGCAGGCATGGCCCGAGGAAGACGTGCTATGGCCTGACCAGGAGGCAGACTCAGAGTTGACGGAAAATCAGAAGAAGGAGCTTTCATTTAGCAGAAAAAGCACGCGGACAAGTGAGTTAGACTTATATTTGTGGCCTAGTTGGAGAGTTGATGATGGCGGATTTGATCTTTAGATGCTAATGAGTTGGATGCAGTGGGCGTGGTTGTATCTGAGACGTTCTCATACAATGTACGGTCGTTCAGGGTGCTGTGGGACAGATGATGGTCGTTGTGTCAAGTACCCTATCGCGCCAGACTTACTAATGCTTAGCAACAATAGCAACTATATAAGTGTCTAACAGACGAGGCCTGTTGCACGTTGCACACTTGTTCTTTGAGCACTGTCTGCTTGTGCACATTTTGCACCATCTGTTTTTCGTCTCTAATTGAATTTTCCTTCGCACAAATTCGGTCATACTTCCAAATACATGTCAGATCCGCAAACTCAAGCAACAATGTCAGCAGTTCGAGTTTGACGCAAACACAATCGTCTCTTTGGGGACCAGCAGTTCGAGAGACTTTGGTTGAAGCTGACTCTGATGGAGGGCATCTACCCCAAACAGAAGTTGAAATTCCCACATTGTCAGTCGACTGACGCTGGCTATAGCTTACTAAAGGTAATCCATATTGGCTCTGATCTTCAACATCCAGCTATGCTGGAGGATCATTGATCCTCATCAACACCAGATCTGATATCTCCGAGTAAGTCCAACAACAATTAATCTTCAAAATTTCGGTATGTTGAACGACTAAGACTGAACAACCAGGACAGACAAACTTAGTATCGGCCATGCCCGAGCCATGAGGTAGCCTGCTGGCTGGGTGCGTTCGGAATATTTATTTGCTCCCTCACCAACCCTCCATGATTTCTTGGAGCGGCTAATCTTCCCTTCCTAACTTCTGTTTTCAATTAGCGAGTTTGAATGCCAATGGCATCTAACGCAAACCTCCCGGATACCATATGTGAGCAGATCCATTATTTTCTGTCCCTTCCTAACTTCTGTTTTCAATTAGCGAGTTTGAACGCCAATGGCATCTAACGCAAGCCTCCCGGATACCATATGTGAGCAGATCCATTATTTTCTGGTCGATCACCCTCCTGACTTCTGTTTTGAAGCAGCAGATCTCTTTATTTGATTCCTGCTTGACAACATGGCAAGTGGAGTCTTTGGCTCTTCGTGTTTTGCTCTTGGTGCAACCTCCCTCCTACGTCTATATCTCCTGCCAGCCAACATCTTTGTGGGACCTCCCAACACAAAAAACAGTCCCTTTCCATACATCGTACATTTGTCAGTGAGTTCTTTTATTGGCACTGTTCATTCACAGTCCTGACCAGCACTCCAGAAGAGCTCTCCTGTGTGTTTGTCTTTGACCTCTCAAAAACCAAAAACAGTTCCTCTCCGCACATTTTCCTGTGAGTTTTTTGTTGGCACCGTGCATGGGCAGTCCTGAGTAGCACTCCAGAAGGCCTCATCTTAACCTCCCAATCTTGCTTTCTTGCGACCTCTCAAAAATCGAAAACAGTTCCTCTGCCTCCCAATCTTGCTTTCATGCTATATCTTTTTGTTTGCGCAACATTTTTGCAGGTAAGACGTTAATATATTTTGTTGTAGGATTACACTCACTTATCCTCTTAGCCATGACTCAGAAAAAAACCCGGCTCTCCGAGACCTGACTATGCAAGGTCCTCCCCTTTCCCTGAATCCCTTTGGCCCGAGCCCATGCTGGATCCCAGCACAGGAGACTACCTGCAAGAACAAGTGGGTGGTGGTAAACACTATGTGGATCCTGTCATGGATCCGACTCCAACCTGTCTTCGCACACACATTAAACCCACAGCTCGTGACATGGGGCTTGTCAAGGAGGCTTCCATGCGTCATCAAGCCATGCCTGCTAACAATCAGCCAACTGGAGGCGACTCTGGACCCGTTAGCGAGCCCATCGGTCAGGAAGTCGTGGACCTTCCGCAACTTTCTGTGCATGTCGCTGTTAGCATACCACCTAACATCCGCAGTAGTCCAGCGCCCGAGCTTGCGCCAGCACATCAGGCTGTACCTCTTCAGGATCTATTCTATGATTCTGCCATCGCCCCTCCCAAGGTTCCTCCACAACCAAATCTATTTACTAAGCCTGCTCGTGTCGACTATGGGACATACAACTTTAGTGGCGACTTTGCCAGTTCTCATAACATTGCTGATGACATTCCTGGTCCCTCTACACTACCCGCAACCACCGGTTTCCACAACATCATCAATAGCATTCCTGGTCCTTCTGCACTACCCACCACCACCAGTCCCTCTGTGATACCCTCTGTCCCTGAGACACGCCTCATACCTCCGACTCCCACTTTTCAGATCAATCCAGTGTTGATAGGCTGTGATCTTGATGATGTTCTGATGGACGACAGTGATGATGACGTTCTGATGGATGGGAGTGATGATGGCGTTCTGATGGATGGTAGTGAAGGTATCATCCCTGTTGTGAAAGGACGGAGGAGCAATGCAACAAATGCCATCCTCCGCAAGGGTTTCATAAATATGGAACACCTCGTGCATGAGCTCAGTCGGGAAGTGTCCGTCCCCACTCATCAAGTCATCTCATTGTGGAACAAGAGTCATGCTCGCAGCATCAATCGTGTCAACCACTGGAATGCATATAGCAGCTACTTCAAAGATAATCTCAAGCAGGAGCTTGACAGACTCGGTGGCAAGGCCCCTGATGTACCAGGAACACCAAGTGAGTGTTTCTCACTCTCGCTATGTCGTCTTTTCTAACAATTTTTGTTCAGGCACTACTGTACGCCGTAACTGCTACAAGCTATTTCAAGTAGCGTATCCCGACTCCTGGCAGACCATCCTAGAGTATCATGGCCAGTCCGTACTTCTCGATGGTGTCCCTCAGACCATTTCCATGTGTGCACAGGAGTTTCAAAAGTTTTGTAAGAAGATCACCGCCGTGGTACGCACAATCTCAACTGGTAGCATCATATTACTGAACACATGTAGATGGATGGAGGAGCTGCACGGTTTGGATTTGAAGCAGCTTTGGTGGCATGTGGAAAAGTCATTAATCAAGATGGTGGTCTTGGCCTGGCTCATACAACTGCGGGAGCCACTGGTGTAAGTTCACTTTTTTTTTGGTTTGGATTTGACCTCAACGTCATATGCTCACACTCTCATAGTTTTGGCTCTCACATTGTAAGGCTGATGATGATACGATCATCGGGCATCTCAAGGCGCAAGTATAGTAAGTCGTCTATATCCTTCAGAGAACTTGGTAGTGACTGAGCTCCCCATATCTAGTAATTTGACGTCACTCGCCATCATTGAGGAAACCTTCCCAGAAGATAACAATGTTACCCTGCTAGACGTGCCCAATGAGCGTGAGGCTTCAATCGCTCTATCCAACACCATCGATATATCCAAGGATGGGACCGGGTGGATCAAGGCAGAGATCTCTCGCCAACTCAGTATGTATCAGTATATCCACCTGCTCTTACTTGCATTAATAAGGAGCAACAGCAAACCTGGGCGGTAAATTCCTATCATCAAAGAAGTTCCCTTGGAATACACTCCCAGGCGAGCTCACACATCAGGGGATAATGATAAAGGGATACCCTGAGGATGTCATACTCCCCGGGGAACACCATGCTTCAAAGAGCAAAGGCATTGCCAATCTCACTCTGAAGGAGGTCAGTGAGGTCATCGCGGCATTAAAGGTGGGCACCATGTTATTAAAAAAGGTTTCGGAGCACAAGCAAGGTACATCTTCAACTTATTTTATTACTGCATTCTGACACCTAGGCGCGTTTTGCTACAGCTAAGATCCTCACTTCTGAATGTCCAGTAGTGGAGGGCACACGTCCCCCAGCAGATTCTGCCCATACAGCAGGACGTCGTCTTTTCGCGAACGGAAATTCTGATCACAATGGACTTGCTCACGAGAAGCCTAGTAAGGCTGTCACCAAACGGAAGGGAAAGACCTCTCAGAAGGCACCGGCCTTAGGTGCTTCCACAATCTCTCTCTCTGACGACTCTGGTGACTCCGACTCTGATGATCCATCTGGTCCCCCCATCAAACCCTTCGGTAGACTTCCCCCCTCGCGTGAATTCAAGGTTGTGCAGCTCCCGAAGCAACAGACAAAGGTCGTGAAGTCGAAGGTCGTGAAGGCGAAGGATGTTATCTCTCTTGTATCTAGTGATGTCCAATCGGGTGCAGAGGATGGCACCACTAAGAAAGCCGACTCCGACTATGAGGACAAGGTTATGTCCAAGAAACAGAAGGTGAAGTCAGAGGGTGGCTTGCGAGTGGCCAAGAAGAGGGCTTCGTCTCCTGAGGCTCCTGTGCCTAAGGTAAATAAGGGCAAGGTGCCCATGAGGGCCAAGGGACAAAATGAGAAGGTAGCGAAGCCTGAGATTGTCCAGTCCTCTGATGATGAAATGCCTGATGACACTGCTAAACGCCTTCGTGCTGGTCCACCAGAACTCAAAGGTATTATGCTGATTCATTATCCTATCACTAGTAGATTGACCAAATGTTTAGAGTGCCCAAAGCCCCGTCCAGTCAAGCCCCCTGTCACATGCGAGGAGACCAACTCTACCAATGTGAATGTTTCAGACCACACTGAGCTGACTGCTGATGCTACTGCAGACCATGCTGAGGTTAACGACAGGCTTCCTCCATGGTCTGAGTCACCAGTATCACCCTCACCAATGTGTTGCCAGCCTTCCCACATGCTCATGGACCATGTTGTCCCTGCTGCAACCGCTCCAGAAAGTGTTGCTCCTGCTCCAGCCTTGCCCAATGACGAGCTACATGGAGAAACTGATCGTACACTGGTTCAGCAAGGAGATTTCGTCATTGGGCCCTCCCATGATGCCAACCTGAGACCAGATATTGTTCAGACTGATGGCCGCATGTATGGCCCACATCAGGGATCACGTATGGAGTCACGTTATCAGTCAACATGGAACAATCCTCCATATGGGGAGAATCATCTGCAGGGTCCTGGCTGTGGGTTCCCTCGCTATCCACCAACTGATTACCAGCGCGGTTATTATTATGATCAGCATATGCAGCATGGCCTTCCGCCCCCTCATGTCCCCCCGCCTCCTCGTGAGTCGCAGCCTCCTTGTGGCTCTCAGCCTCCTCAGCCTTCTCGTGGCTCTCAACCTCCTCGTGGCTCCCAACCTCCTCGTGGCTCTCAGCCCCCTCAGCAGTATGATGAAAACCACCATCGCGGCGGTGGATATCATGATGGTCACTCCCACGACCACGACCCTCGAGAGTACCATGAAGAGTATTGGCACCCCTCCCTTAACCGATATTATGGGGGAGGGTATAACCACAGGTATGGTGGGTACAGTCCTGATTACTCTGATGACCAGATGGAGCTTTGATATACTCTGTTCAGTCATATTCATTGGACTGCCTCTGTCACTCACATATTGTATACTGCATTGTTATGTACTATCTTGATATCGAGCCTCACACCTGACTCACCTTGTCTTTACCAATACTAGTTAATGCATGGCCTTTTGTCTGACTCAATGATGCCTTGTTGGTGACATGAAAAACAGAAAAAGGAAGAAAAAGCAAACAAACAATTGAATTGTGCTACGGAAGTATGAAAAACATATGCTCTAACATATAGGGAGAACTGACATGATCTGTCATCGAGGACGTCGCGCCAACATACAGAGATGTGGACATCTGGTGGAGAGGATCTGGAGAGCTCACCCTCGCAGACATCGCACCAACAGGACATCAGGTGCGGAGGATCTGGAGATGAGGAGGATGGACTCACCCTCTGCAAGAGGATCCACATGTGAACTCTAGAGGGAGACTCAGATGGCCCTACGAAACTAGAGAGAGACATCCTGACAGAGGATGTCTCTCAGACCTTTTATTCACAACATAAAAATAGGGTCTCACATACCGTGAGAACATCTTCAAAGTGCTGCCAAGGGTGGAAGTACCACACACTTATGGTTAAGTTTTTTACCCAAATCTAGCCATGTGAACAGTGCATGGTCACTAACCATCATGCATGCAAGACGCAAATCAGAGGAGCAAGCAGGTGATAATTTTGGAATGAAGTTGATAAATGCCAAAAGAGCTTCTCTTCGGTCATTTACAATTGCCCAATATAGTGCTGTGTGACCCTCAATGTTGGGTTGTTGCAGGAGTTTGGAGAACTCTGCTGCTGGGAGAGTGGTAACACAGGCACTGACAGTTTGAGCAATAGAAGAAGGGGTGAAATCTGGAGAGGAGACAATTGCACAGATGTGTGATAGACAGTTTTGCTTGGACTGTAGGAGGGAAAACACCCATAGCTTGGACCAGATGGAATCTGCTGATACTGATGTAAAAATTGCATTATATGAGGGGGGTGTGTTGCAAGGGACAGACATGCTAACATCAAAGGCCTCAGACTTGGTAGTCATTGTGGAGGAGAAGATATAGGGGTCTGCTAGGGATCTGCTAAGTAATTAAGTTAGGACAGCAAACAAACCGAAATTTCTCACGACTTCAAGTTACTCACTGGTTCCAACTTCCAACTTACTGGCATTGCCCTATAGATCACTCACACATCAGAGTCCTAGTTGTACTCGAGATCGAATGATTTACATCAATTATATAGAGTGCTCCCAGGTATTTTAATTCGTGTCGCTATAGGCAGAGCATTTGAGACAACTGACCGCTTACTTAATAGACCGATGATGTATGACTTCAACTCTTCGCCTTCATATTTTTACTCATTCATCTATCTTTATAGGACTTACAACCCCTTCCCGATGGTGCTTGCGCCTTTCCAACAGCCATAAAATTTCACACAGTAAGTCAAGGGATTTGATATAGATCTCTACAATATATTGCCGGCTCCTCGTGCGCTGTGATAATAATCTGGTTCCGGTTTGCAAATAAAGTCGATTTGCTCGTAATCACAGTAAGCAAGCCCCTCGATCTGGTCTTCTAGGTCTTATATCTTGAGCACTCGTTGTGCGTGCTGAAGGGTCATTTGGCGTCATATATTCACCAGTACGCGAATTGGCGCTTACGTTCTTGTATGCATTTGTCAAAGCCCATACACGAACTTTGGTTCTGTCCAAATCATGAAAGAGCTTTCATAGTCTCGGGTCTGGTTTGATGAGATCATCGAGAGGGTGTGTTCCGTCACATTTCCGATCAAAATCCATGGGATCTGGAGCCGTACGTCTATTCGGCAGCGGGTGCTCGCAGCGTAGGTCCTACCTATGTCATGATGACGTGTTAGACCGCGAAGTGCAAGTCCGTACTGAGTGTAGTATTTGTAGTGCAACTCGGAGGCTTTCTCACCATCGAGATTCGAGCCCAAGATTGACGAAGTATGCTGCTCTTTCCACATTAGTATTTGAGAGAGTTCAAACACTGTGGGGAATCTTTGTGCTGGCAGAATATAGTGTATCAAACCAAACAATTGATCTAGTATCTTTGACACGAGTCAGAGTGCGCGATGCGATGCGGAAAGAAAACCGACCTTCTTCAGGTATATCCGGAGACGATGATCGTCAGTGAGGGTATATTATGGTATGAGTCAGATAGCGTTCTCTTGTAAAGGGCATGCTTCATCAAGAAATCGGTGAGGACATGCTTCCCCCACTCTCAAGTTACTAGCAGGCCTGCAAAGGAGAAGACGAGCCCCGTTAGGACTCGGAGGTCCGCGACAAACACGCCAGCCTGTATAAAGTCTTACATTAAAATTTAAATCCAATTCATGAGCCAAAAATAAAAGATTATATATCAACACGAGCAAATATTTCGCAGATACGATGAGACAATGAAGTACGTCGCACTCCTTAGCGGAGGGAAAGACAGCTGTTATAACTTGTCCCACTGCAATGCTAACGGTCACCAACTCGTAGCTGCAGCGACCCTCTCCCCGCAATCAGGAAAAGGTCTGACTTCACCTTTCTTCCTCGAAAACGCCTCATCTCCATAGATGAGATCGACTCGTATATGTACCAGACAGTGGGCCAAGATGCGATCGAATTCGTAGCTCGCGCCCTCGAAGTTCCGCTTTATCGACGCGTCATACAAGGTGATGCTATCGAGCAAAATGCAGAGTATGGTTCGCGTAGTGCTGGGGGAGCTGGCGTGTTGGGGGATGAGACGGAGGATCTCTATACTTTATTGGAGCATGTCAAGGTCAGATCTAACTCATGCCAATCTCACCCTGATCTCATCGCAACCAGGTTCACCACCCAGATGTCCAAGGCGTCTCAGTCGGCGCTATTCTCTCAAATTACCAACGCGTTCGCGTCGAACATGTGTGCGTATTGGCCATGTATGATTCAGTTTGTAATGTTCATGATCAATAGGTGTCGCCGTCTCTCCCTTACACCCTTAGCCTATCTCTGGCAGCGCGATCAAGCCGAATTGCTGTCCGAGATGATTGCAGTGGGGATCAAAAGCGTGCTCATAAAAGTAGCAGGCATCGGTCTGACAGTAAAGCACCTAGGAAAAACATTAAACGAGATGCAGGACACCCTCACGCGATTGGTGCGTCCATTGCTTCTACACAAACAAATTCATTCATTTTCTCGCAGAACAGCCTTTATGGCTTGCATATCTGTGGTGAGGGCGGAGAATACGAAACTCTTACTCTTGACAGCCCGTTGTTCAAGCATCGTATTGTGCTGGATGAAACAGAAGTCGTGATGCATACAGACAATGAATTTGCGCCTGTTGCATACTTGCGTATCAAACGAGCTTCGCTTCATCCTAAGGAATCGTCTACGGACAGCAGGGTCGAAGTTCTGCCACTCTTGGAAGATAGGTTCGGTAAATTGAAGAACGTGATCGAAAACTCAGTCCTAGAGGGATACGAAAACCGGTTCAGCGGCACATATGAACCCACCAACAAGCCACGCCGCGTTCCAGACCATCCATCAACGCACACTATTGGACCATGGCTCGCGATCGGAAACATCCACCCAGACCCATCTCTGGACTCAGAAATACCTCTCGCAGAACAAGTCCGCGACTGCTTCATTCAATTACAAGGTATCAATCTATCACTTACATCATTTCCATATCCAATTCCAATCGTCCTACAGGAATCCTCGAATCACACGATCTGCGCATGGAAGATGTGGCTAATATTACACTCTTACTGCCTTCCCTCGCCCCCGAGGTATTCACAGCCGCAAATAAGGCATACGCCGAGTTCTTTGGTGCCTCACCTCCTTCGAGGGCTTGTGTGGGCGTGGATCTTCCCGAGGGGGTGGGTGTGATGCTTGAATGCGTCGCGCGCAAGGATAACACAAGGAGAGCGCTCCATGTACAGGGCTTGAGCTACTGGGCACCTGCTAATATCGGCCCTTATTCACAAGCTGTCACCGTGCGTCCGGTCTTCTGCGACACGAGATGCCTTCCTAATTGCTAGATCAGGTGGAGCCCTATGTTTTCGTATCCGGCCAGGTCGGTCTACTCCCTCCGTCTTTGACGCTCCCTTCTCCACCCTCGTTGGCGCTTGAAACTGCGTTGGTGTTCCAGCACACGGATCGCGTCATTCGCGCTGCCAACGCTGCAGGGGGTCATGTGCTGCTTTCGCTTTATTGGCTTGCGGATGATGCTGATACCATACACATCCGACGGGCTTCTGAAACGTTTTGCGAGGTGAGTCAAGAGATTAAAAACTTGCAAACCAGAAAATCGATATTAATATTACCATTAATTTTGTAGGAAACCCCAACGTTGTTCTTGGTAGTCGCGTCCCTCCCGCGCGGTGCACGCGTCGAGAAACAAGTATTGGTGCATACAGGCGAATTCACAGTCCCAGACGAAGACGAAGACACGTTCACACAGGTATCTCGCACTCCGGAGTTTTTGTCTGGTACGTTCATGCATATCTAAATCGTCCTGATGTGCTCACGTGTTTTCAGGGGATATCCACACCAAGCGCACCCAGATATCTCGCACTGCGGATTTCCTATCTGGTGCGTAAGACAAGTAGGAATTGGCCTCTTGTGCTCATGCATTTTCAGGGGATGTTGATCCTGAGTGTGGTATGACAGCGTCGAGCGAAATGATCCCCGGTTCGACCAGGCCATCCATATTGAACTGGCAGATCTCTCGATTTGACGTGTCAGGGACCTCGCCGCCGTGCGTGGTCATCTGCGCTCGTGGACATCCATCGCAGGAGGATGCAATCGAACTTAAAAAACTACCATCGCTCAGTGCATTCTGGGAAACAGCGCTCTCAGCAAGATTGTTTCACAGAGTGGAAGCTGATTTTTCATCTGGTTGTACGTTTGATCTCAGACTCCGAGGTGTGTTTGTGTTGATGATCTTTGTTCGAACAGGGTCATCAGTGTCTCGCGTACTGTTTGAAGACAGGGCTACGCCTGCAACCACGTCCATCCCCTGCCGATATATCGGCACTCAGGGGAGTGATGAACATTGGGATTGGGCGGTGGCCTTGGTAGGCGTATCAAAATTGCGCACCAACAAGCCATCTTTTTAATAATACCATGATATTAATGAACATGAACGTGGACCACGACAAAACAAGTGATAGACATGAATGGATAGGATATGAAAACAGATATGCAGAATACAGCTGTTAAAAACGTAATGTATGAATGAATGAGTATGATACAACTGTCGTCCACCCTAGATCATCGATGCACCTAATCTCACAAGAACGACATCACGGCTCCTCTTCAGCCTTTAGCTCCTTCAGTACAGCAAGCCCACTCCTCATCTGACGCTCTGTCTTGGTGGGTGGCACCATACGACAGGCAGCAGCGCCGATTAGCGCGCACAAGCCTCCGAACCGCAGGACCCATGCTACGCCGTTCTTGCCCAAGTATGTGTTGTGATCAGGTTCGAGATCGGGAGAGGGAGAGGGAGCTGAGACGGGGGTGGATTCATCTACGATGCGGAATATCACGGACGAGACTAAGGCGATCTAAGCGAGAGGGACTAAGTGAGGTTTCAAGGAAACAGATCGAGACTTACGATGAACTGTGGCATCACAATGGCAAGGTTATGGATGCCGAGGATCGTGCCTCCTGCTGGCCTGGTCTCACTATCGCTGGCCTCGTCCTCAGCATCAGAATCTGATTGAACCACCGAGGAACGGCCAAGTAAAGGATCTTGCTCAGAGACCTCCGTTGCTGTTTCAGGTAAATGAGGAATCTTTGCATGCATCTCTTTCAACAGCTAGAATTTACGACAATTCAAACTCAAGTCCACTTGGGAATGAACATGACTGACCTCCATGATAATGGCGAACGGTACCCAACATGCAACAGCCCAACATATCCCAACAAAGCTAATTACAACCGTAGCTTGCTTAACGGTGCTTATCCAGAATGTAGAGAACGTTAGCAGGGTGAACAAGATCATTGCTGCTGTCCATATGTCCCGGAGGAGCCATGGCGTCTTGGGAAGTTTTGTGATCCCTTCTTGACGCCACAGGTGAAGTCTACCGCGGAAGCGCTCAATCTGTGCATCTTCGTCATCACCTTCTACAGGCAGAAGACGACGGTCACGTCGGGCAAAGACGGGAAGTATGCCGCCGGCGAGAACAGCCACTATGTTGATGTGAGGTTTTGCTTTAGATGGTATATATGAAAACACACCTATGCTGTATAGCAACATTGCGAATTCACCGTTACGAGTGGCTAGCTCGTTGTCTGGCTCCTTACCTGTCTCGTAGGCCATGACTTGACCGACATATGTGGTACTGGCGTGTAAAATCAATTATAAAATGAGATATGAGTTGAATTTGAGAATACTCACGAGTAGAACAAGAATGGGAACCTAATTCGACGCGTCAGCACCCGTCCAAAGAAGCATCCATGTCACACACCATCCCATGAAAGCGAAGATCTGCACAAGACACACCCTTCTGATAGGTTTCGGAAGCGTTGTAATTGCACTGTAAATGTTCTCCAAAATTTCACCCAACTTTCCGCGCCTAGAAGTTCGCTCAACTAACAAATCGTTTCCATGTCAATCCACCAACCTTTGGCTGTTCTTCCTTTCTGCAGAAGATTTCTCCTCATGACAGAAGCAAGTGATCCACACTGTGATAACAAGGATAGTCATGCTGACAACACAGAACTTTCGGAACTGATCGCCACCCAGGAAGCTCAGGAAGGGAAGCTTCGCGAGAGGGATAAATCCTTGACATCACGTCAGCGCGGCGTCGGTGGACGAGCATGGGTAATGACATACCAAAGCCGTAACCAACGATATTACCTGCTTGGCACATGCGGCTATGCCAAGCATTACCGGCATTGAGCTGATCGGGCGGAGTGATATCCAGAAGAAGGTTGCGCAAAGATGCTTGGAGAGCGTTGAGAGCAAAATCAAGAACGTAGAACGCGAAAACAGCTATGCCAATGGCAGCATTTGCGGCCTGGTAGTGTAAGAGACATAAATGAGGAATGACCAATGTTGACATACCTGCTTCGTGCGTTTTGGATCCCAGTCACCAGCGCCTCCGCCAAAGATATCAACAAAGAAACCAGCGATGTCCTGACAATAGGCCAAAGCTAGCGTTGAGACGACAAGTGCACCCGTCGATAAGACCACCCAGTATCTCCGCCGATACTTCGACGTGGACGAATCAGATATTGCACCTTGCGAACTGTTCAATGGACCATCCAAAACCCATCTCAGAGAACATACCAATGAGAGGTTGTGCAATGAGGGCCGCTGATAGGCCCAGCTAGCCAGACCAAGCTGGTAACCTGTTCTGATATCCCCAGTGACAAGAGAAACGGAGTCCCGTATCTGGCGGACGTAGCGCATTAATTTTTGGGAAAACCAGTAGCATAAAGAACTTACCCTAGCTCCACCGTCCACGCGATTTGGGCGCCAGCCATGGATATACTGAGGGTCATGAGATTCCATGTGGTCAAGCGTGTTCGCCCGGGTTCGCTTGCGTGTTGCTTCTGCTTTCCGTTTCCATCTACCGCCTGGTATGATTCTTGTTCAACAGACTGTGTCTCTTGTTGAGAATTAGATGTTGTGCGCGACCTGTGGCTAGCTGGCCATGCTATCTGGGTGGTTGGGTCGGGGTCCGCGTCAGGATTGTATGCAATGGTCATGTTTCTGCTTAAGACGGTAACAAAGAGGGAACTAAGGGCACGAAACACAGCGAGGTAGAACAACCAAGCTGATCAGGTTCAGCAGTCTCGACGCAAAGAGGCACAAACCTCCTTAAGTAGAGTAGGCGAGGCAAGTGCTAATACCCCGTAATCGACGGCATTCTCCGAGAAAAGGGAGCGAATATCGGTCTTGCCCCAAATCTGATGATCTGAGGTTTGTTGTATGAGGAAGGGTGCAATTGCTACAAATAAGTTGTGCTACAGTACTAGTGCAAACAGACAATGCTGGGTGTATAAAAATGTCCAGGCGGAAACTAATCCCACTACAAAAATTGAACAGTGGAACGTACAACCGAAGTGAAGTCCAGATGAAAGTCGTACAACAAATAAACAGTTATCCGCGAATAGAAGCTGTTGAAGAGCCTCTCCGATGGTTATGATGACCTTGGGGTGGGTCAGGGGTGGGTGTAGGAGGGGGCTGAGCAGGTGAGGACTTGGACGAAAAGATACTGGGTAGTCTTCGGCTTATAGCTGCAGCAGTAGCTGATGATGCAATACGGACCCCTTTCTTAGGTGGTTCCGGGAACTGCGCGTATAGCGTGGGGGGTCCGGTGAATGTCCCAGGTTCCCCCACCAACTTCTCTTCGTGTTGAGAGGTATCTGAGGAAGATGCGCGTGTGAGAACAGGAATTGGCGAAGGCGTGGCTTGTGCTGGACGTGCGCTGGACGGATTTGTTCCCGAACGATTTCTCAGAGTGTCTACTTGACTGTTCTGGGTTTGTGCGGCAAGGGGAGACGGTGTTGTGCGGAGCTGTGCAGCAGAAAATGAAGGTCTGAGAGATTTTCGAGGTGCCGTCGATCCGGTGATGGCTAAAGAAGCCAGTGCAGTGATATCGTCACCGTTTGCCGAAGGACCAGCCGAAGCGAAGTTATTCCCATTCTGTGATTTATTGTCCGTCGACGCTGTTCCCGCACTTCCGCTACGATTTCTCCTCATGTACTTCTCTATCTCGTCCGCGTCTCGCTCCCGCATGCGGTTCACGATTGGTGACAGTGAATTTTGTTGCGCAAGAGGTGGATTGAGTGTAAGTCCCTGCGAAGGTCCCGGGGAGGGGAAAGTGCCTGTACTGCTGGCCGAGGACATGTTATCAGATCGCTGCGAATGAGGGTGGGTATATTGATGTGAGGGTAATCTCGAAGGTTGTGACGTTGTCGAAGATGCTGAGAGAGATGAAAGACTGGTTCCTTGTCCTGGCCCTTGCCCAGCACTGTCTACATCGCCGCTGTCAGATGTCGCGGTAGTGCGACTTCCACCTGAGCTGCTCCGCATTCGAGACCCGTTCCTCCCAACGCTGGGTGGCTTTAATGGAATAGGTGGCGGTCTAGCAATGGGCCATTCATTGCCTCGAGCAGCGGCTTGTGCAAATACCATGCGTCTAGATTTCTTATTAGTCTCAAATTGCATACGGGCAGAGTCCTGCAAAGTGTCTCGGGTGCTGAAACTGCATTATCGTTAACGGCCTAGTAACATGTACGAAAAAGCGCTAGCTTACGAATATGCGTAATCGGACGCAGTGAATCCGTCATTGTTCCGAGCAGCAAATTGACAACCTCGTTCGATCAAAAGTTGGACAATCTGGGGGCCCAAAAGTAAGCGAAAAGAACATTGCACTAGATCGGATGCGCGCCACGTACCGGGATATGACCCCAAGAACTTGCACTGACAGGGAATAGTTAATTCCAAGACCCGATGACTGGAAGCAACTTACTAATGTAGAGGAGTATTGCCTTTATTATCCGACAGATCGAAATCAGCACCCAAATCACACAGCATCTTGAGAAGGGCATCGAGATAAAATAAGCTCAGACTCATGATACAATCGAGGTTTCGGGTGACTCACGCGAACGAGTTCTTCGTTTCCCTTGAGAGCGGCCATGTGTAGCGCTGTTTTCCCTTGCACGTTGGACCAATCAAGAATCCATGGGTAACGTTCGTAGTAAAGTCTTGCCATACGAAGCGCAGCACCCATGAGATCAACCTGCGAGGGGCCTGGCGCGTAAGGGTTAGGTGGCGGGGGCTTGAAATCAGCCAATAGCATGAGGATGGTGTTGTTCTCAGATTCCTGATAGATGAAGTGGTCAAAACCTCTGAGGGACAACGCTTGTGGCGAGCGCATACCCTGCTGAGTTCTTCATCGTCATGCCCAGCTGTAAGTAAAAACTCGAACGTCTCCTCATGTCCCAAGACAGCGGCCCAAGCTAATGATGTGTAGCGCTTCGGACCGGGGTCAGGATTCCGCATGTCTGTTCGTTGAATGAGCCTCTTGACGAGGAAGAGATTGTTCTCTGTAGATATGGGCGTTATTAAGAGCTACAGACTGATACCGGTAAAAGGACGAACCTTTAACCGCTCTACGGAGGCGTACGGTAGCATCTTTTTCTGCCATGTACAGAGCAGTTGACGGTCGGGTGAAAGAATGAAAGAACTTTGAAGGAGATAGAAACAATTGAAGACTTAATTACGACGGCAGCCACACGTGACCATATGACTATTGACTTCGTCCGTTATCTTGTGCCTACATAACATCTTGCCAACTCCCAGGATTTTGTTCTAACCAGATTCGAGACCAGCCTCGACCGCGTACGCTTTTATCCGAGAAGGAGCAAACTTTAGTTTCTGGTCAAACATTAATCATGCCAAAGGTCGTCTCTCGTTCAGCGGTCTCCTCATCCACAGATGGTCAGTCACATCATTCAAATTATCTGGCCCATCAGCTGCTCATTTTCTTAGCACGGCCAACGGCATCAGCCGCAGCTGCTCTCAGGGTGTACTGTGAGTACCGTGCTATGCCGTTAATCGCATTAGTTCACCTGCGTCCCTTGCACAGACTGTATATGTGGCGAGTTTATCGTGCGCGTCTTCGGCCGGCCCTCATGTCACGAACTTACGCAAGATACATGACAGCTCGTGATCGAAAAAAGCCTTTCAGCGCTGCCAAAGCGCCAGACTGATGGGGCTACCATCATTCGCTGTCAGGATAGCGGTACAGAGAATGCAATCGTTCTCAAATTAAACGCTATATCAACTGATCCCGTCCTAGTCGAAAGGTACGACCAAATTGTATCCATGGTGGCCGGGGCTGATTGCAACGTGTAGGCCAGGGGGACACGAGCGCCAGTACAGATTCTCATGTCCGCGCTGCAACTTATTGGTCGGATACCAATCTACTCCACCACCTGTCAAATCTGGTCCGTATCTGTATATCCTCAGGGGAGCCCTTACGCAGATGCAAGGCCAAGTTCCCAAGGACGCTTTCGATGGCGAAGCTGCCCTGGACCTTTCAGAAACTGAGACCCAATAGCATGGTCGCACGAGGTAGGGACGTCACCGAATCGAATATGGCCTCAGTACGCGCATAAATATAACAACATCAATCATGTTTTCCAAACAGTAGCATGAGTGTACAGGATCTAGCCTACGACATGGTCATTGAACGCGGTGCAAAGCTATTAACTTAGTAACAGATGACGATTATGAAAACCGGTCACTGAAATGGTAAGATATCTGATACCTGAGAATTATTGTTAGTTAGACGTCTTGGTAAACAAAATTGAACAGAGTAAAAGCGGCTCAGCTACCGTTGTAGAAAAAACTCACAATCCATGCATCCAGCGGACGCACAGATTCATACAGTGTGAATAAATATGTCATCACTACCGCAGAAACAAGAGAAGGGCAAAACATGTAATTGTACACTCACCATTGGTGTTGGTTCCATCTTTGCGACAGAGTAGGTTGATCAATATCATACGGAGGAAAGAGAATTTTCAAAATTTATCCAAGATGAGTTTGTTCGTGTTTGTTTGTGTGTCCCAGAACCAAATACTGCAGTAGCCCAAGTATTGCGTTGTCCAAACAAACCACTCAGCTTTGGCGACGAGACATCCTGATAGAGCCCAGAGATTTGATCTCAAAGTCTGTGGCGCGTGCAAAGACACTCCTTCCGTTCATGATTGCTATCATCAGTCGAGCAACAGCTGCATTGGGAGTAGAGCCAGTGCTACAAGTATACAGTCTGTAGGTATTGACGATCAATATAGCAAACTGGTTCATCCGGTATAACTGGGAAGTTGACTTGGACCAGGCCCACCTCTTCCACCAACTTCCACTCAGCGAACCTCTCTTCCGGAGGAGATAATTTAAGCCCAACAAATGCGGTAGGCCTGGGTTCACAGGCGGGTACACAGTGGAAAATATCAGGTTCTCGGTGTAGAATGAAACCGGCCGACTTGCCCCGGATCCCTGGCACACGGCCGATGAGTGAATAATTGACGATCCCGAGCGCGTATTGATCAACGGAGTCGAGTCGGCAGCTGGTATCAATATCAATCTTGATACTTGGACACAACGGGCAGTCCAGTGTAATACTGTAGCCATGTCCCGCACACATATTCGAATGGACGTTGAGAGGGAAATATTACCAAAGGCACTCGCAAGCCAAGGCTGGTCATAGTCATCTCCAACCGCCCACTGCCTTCCAGCTCCAAACTTTGATAGGCTATGAAGCTCTGTGGTGATTTAGGAATAGCGTGTGAAGTGTGATGCCTCGCAGCGTCGCCCTTCCAGTTGAGGACAGAAGGGTCACCAGCCTGCATGATGACCTCTATGAGCCTGCAGAATGCGCGATCTCCTCCTCCATACGCAATCTGCAGGCTCACATCAAACATTCCCATCAGGGAATACGCCACATCTTCGACCCTTGTTGTCTTGCGTCTGGCTGCCCACGTCATCCGCTTATCTACCTCGGACGGACTTGGACAAAACTTGCGTCGTAGGTCGTCATAAGGAATACCTGTAGCTCTCTCCAGAGTCTCCAATATTTCGGCCGGTTCCCGACGCCTCAGGCTGGACAGCAATGGCCTACTGAACAGGAACTCGTTGATGTCATCCTTGTCATCTTTGTCATTTCTATCGTCCGTCATAGGCACCCAGTACTTGTTGAAGAATTTGATTCGAGCGGGCGCGAGCAGTTCTTGCAACGTCCAGCCTCTTTCAGTCCATTCGTCCTCCATTATGTCCTCAATGGTTTTGCTTTGTGCCAGATGGATAATGCAAATGGCCGAGTTTCCATACCATCTAAACATGGAGCGAATCGACTCGTCGAGCTCGGTGCTGCTACTTTTGTTGATGCAGCAGGTATCTGACCATGCAAATTCCATGTTGTACTCCTCGGCCTTTGCGCAGAACTTCTTCAGTTTCTCGTACCCCGGACATGCTGCTGTGCCCGCCTTGATTTCTTCGTAGGTCGGCTCTCATTGTTTCAACCATCGGTGAGATAGGATGGCGTATCTGACAGTGTCGGAGGGCTGACCAAGGCGTTTTATATAAGACGTCCTGAAGTGCTCCCTCACCTCATTACGCTCAACAAACGCCATGTCTGTTAGGCGTATGAGGCGTATTGGGATATCGTTCATCGTATATCGATCGAATTCGTCTATATCCCATTCCTCTGGCAGGATCATGACAGGTCACCACTAGCCGCAATGAATTATGTGGCGCGATGGAGCATACAACTAACTCACCGGCGTGGAGGACAAGAGAATACGCGATGATGTAAAGTTGAAAAAGGTCCTTTCTCTCGAACTCGATCAGCTATGGATTATTAGGTGAGTCTTCAGCACCTCAATTGCAGCCAAATCTTCACTCACCCCAGTCCGACAGTAGAATCGTTTAAAGATGGTATTGAGATGATAAAACCACAGTATGAGAGCTTGATTCATCTGCCGAAAATGTCAGCTCCTCGTTATATGCGCATATTTGAAACCCCACCTCAACTTGAGGCGTCCTGGTGGTAAAATAGAAAGGTGCGTTCTCGGTGAAGACGGCCTACAATATTTTGACACCGCCATAGAGGGTGACCGAGGCTCGAGGCTATGGCCATCTTTCCCAAGCTTCTATTCGGATGCTGTGCAAACCTGGGCAAAGATCCGTCGCAAATTTGCAACGTTTCGGTTGTACTATTGGTTATGGTCTATTCATGATGGATGACCATTTCGTGAGTCTACTTTTTGCAGGGATTTTCGTGACATGCCGTTACCATTTGTAACAAATAATCACGTTTTGACAATCCGACATACCGACGTTCTGCTCCCGGTCCCTGGAAGAGCATCAAGGCATGGGTACCGGCACTGCCGTGGCAGTGTTTGACAGCATGTACTCTTGGCGACTAATCAGCGGATGCTGATGATAAAATTAGTCAGGACAACTTGCGCAGCTTGCAAGAAACATCCACACCTTCAGTAAGTCCATCTCAACGGTGCTCAACATCATCAAGCTCACCGGAATGGCGGATGAAGCAATCATTCCAAGCAGCACACCTATTCAGACGTATGAAGATCCTGAGGAAAGCTAATGCAATCGCTACCTGCTCACCGTACAAGTTTTCAAATTCGGTTGCAAATACGGTAGCACGAGTTCTGGGCATCCGAAAGGGACCGCAGTCGAAGACAAGTGGTCCAGAGGCACATGAGATCCCCGACAGGAAGCGGTGGTGACATGAACAGTACCAGTTGAAAAGACGTATGGCGGCGAAATAGGAATACAAAGCAGACTCGAAATTGGAGCGAGCAAACGTCATGGAGGTATCGTCGACTCAGACACACAAGGCTGAACCATCATAGACGACCGCGGTCGACTTGTAAAGAGGACGGCACAGTTCACAGTTCAGGACATGAGATTTGATAGAGGGCTGTCTAACAAGAAACATTGGATAGAAAGGCTGCAGATAGACAGATCAATGACGACTAAAAGTCACAGAGACCACACGGACACACCTTGCTAACTAGCACACAGAGGACAACGGGACGAACCAAGACTGACGTGTCCAGAAAAAAGGAAAAGAAGATTGCTTTCCTGGTGTGCTCCGGTCCCAGAAAGTTGAACTCGGAGCTGGCAAGAGTGTTTGGGAATGTATTTCAGCCACCTAGAAATATGTAAACCAGCGGCATGCTGCCCTCTCATTGGGTGACTGTTCAGAACATATTTGATTGTGAAGACGTTTTTATCCATTAGATAGATATCATTGTATCTTATCAACTCGCAGACTATACTAGACCATCGAAAGTGAAATCAAGCAAGCTGAAACGTACTCCCAAGCGCAACCATCCTACTCCCACCAGACAAAATAGGACTCGCAGCCCTCAAACTCCCAAATGACATCCTACATGCAGCACGGCGAAGTGCGTGGATATGTCTGGGTAGCGAGCAGAGGCGTAGGTGTACTCGGGGATGCAGTCACGGGAGATGCAAGGATATCACGACGGGAGACCCGATGGGAGACGACAGCGGGATACGTAATGGAGGCGATGGAGTTGCCTGTGGACAAGGGAGTTCAGGACCAAACATCGAGGGGTTTCGCATGAGATTGCGGCGGAAGGGCTTTGGCTTCGTTGTTCTCAATTCCTCCTTGGGTTTCGCCTTCGGTACGGTCACGGGCAAGGCAGGCGTAGAGAGCGAGACGGTTGTTGCAGAAGTCTCTACACTCGCTGTCGTAAATTAACTGACGTTATCTGGCGAGCTAGTGGGCAGTAAAAAAGCGCTCCGCCCCGACTCACGTTTCCTAGCCTGATCCTTGTGCAGAGATGATGTAGTAGTAATTTGCGTTGATGCCAAAAATGGCAGGGTCTGTCGTGCATGTGCATCTGAGGATACAATTAACGATCACGAAGGTTCCCTCGTACGAGGCTTCTTCGCACGTTAAGAACGTAATTTCTCCTCTTCGTCAGAGGAGACCGATAGGGAAGGCATGTGTCCCTTGCGGAATTTAGGCTGCTTGATGGGTGTGGCCGCTTTGATTGCGGTGGTAGGTAGCACTCAAAGTTTGGATAGAGGTGTCTTTGGCGGGGACTCTGTTCAAGACTGCCAAATTTCGCCGTAGCGGAGGGTATCCTGACGCAGCTGTCGTTGGTGTAAAGGTTAAGAAAGTCTTTACGCAGCCTGCTACTCCGAGGGCACCGATGCAGAAACGGGAGTGGCAAAGATGGAGTTTGAATTCGAGGACTTTCGTATAATGCTCTGAGGCAAATATTGAGCGTTGAAACGTTGATGCGTTGGCGGCGCTTATTTCCGCTTCGGGATAATCTCCACTGAATCAGATAAAACTGAAAGTTGAATAGAATAGGCCTTCGAACTTGCAGTAGTTACATGGAATGAAAAGCATGAATCTGCAACTTTGCGAGTAGGCATATATAAGACCGTAGACGTCTCACTCGAGACCTCCCGCGCCCACTATGTCCAAGTCCGAGATCACGATCACACGCGGTGAGTATAATTTTGCACATGGCTCATAATCCCCAACTCCCGAGGGCTTTGTCGAACCTCTCTACTTTTTCTCTGTACGACTTGATCCGATTATTATCTTGATCATTCCCCATCCAAATTTTACTTCTAGACGTTCATGCAGAGCTTGTACCGTGGACAAAAACCGTCTTATAACATCTTGTGTCTTGAGCTTGATGCATCTTGATCCCGCATACCGGTTGAACGCCTTCTCCACCCGCCAGCTCTTGCACGTATGAACATCGATGCCTGACCTACTTTCTTCCTTCTATACTGACCAAGTCCTCCCCGCCCGTGTTTCCTTCCCCTCTCTTTGGAAAGGTGCGTATTTCTTTGACTGTCCTGCGTACCTCTCATATCGTTTGATGGTTGATCTTAGTGCTCTAAAAGTCACCTTGGTCAGTGATAATCTAGTGTGACTTTTCTTTCCCAATGACCACTTTCTGATTTGCTCGTGCTTGTCGTCACAGAGGCAGCTCGCCAACGTCTCGCAAACTTTGTCTTAAAGAAGCGTACCCAGAGTCCAGAATCTGTCAAATCCCTTCTGTCGTACTTCTGCCGCTTACGCCCCGTGTTGGGTGCATCTAATGAAGCTTTTTTTGCACGTTGTCTCCCATTCGTACGTCACCTCGGGCTACATTGAGATGCTGTATGGAGTGGTCGTTGCGGCTGCTCCATGTTGTCCGTATAAATATTTCCTTACTGACCCAGACCCTATATCGAATCTGACTTTGTTGAGGCACAGACAAGGATATTCATAACGAGCACAGAGTACATTAATGAGACTTTGTTATTCAAAATGAAGCGTGTCGAAGAAATGGCAGGCATGTATCTTAGCTGCGTCATGCTATCGCACAGGTGGGAAGGAAAAGAGCCGCTGCTGCATGACATCCAGGACAAGACGGTCCATGACTTGGATTCATCTGGCGGAATCGTGAAGTTGCAGTCATTCTGCAAGGTTGCTCGCCGTGCGGAGTGTCGTTGGGCTTGGAGCGATATATCGACAAGACTGACAATGCCGAGCTCCAGGAATTGGACCTTATATCTCAATGATCGCTCTTCCAACCACGAGGAATCCGTCGTGATCATGCAGGAGCTGGGAGATGCGGTGGGCATAGATCTACAGGCCCTCGTTGCCTTCCGTCCAGGAATGACAGGCGCCCGAGAGAAACTTCAATGGTCGTCGACCCGCGTCACCACGTTGCAGGAAGACGTTGCATATTCATTATTCGGTATATTCGGTGTGTATTTACCTGTCATCTATTGCGAGAAGAAGCAAAACGCTCTCGGGAGGCTCTTACAGGAGGTTGTTGCCCGCTCGGGCGACATCTCTGCCCTGGATTGGATTGGAATGCCATCTGAGTTTAATAGCTGTTTTCCAGCCGATATCACTTCTTATCATGCTTCGCCACCCATATTGTCATCTCTGCCCGAAGATGAGATGGAGAAATCAGTGTCCCTCCTGCAAAAGGTCGGGGCCGTGGGGCTGGCTTCGCAATTTTATGCCTTGCTTGACAAGCTGAGCGCTCCTCGTTTCGCAAACTGCAGACTGCATCTGCCTTGCATTACATTCCCTGTCACAGCAATGAAACGGAGGCGCGGTCAAGGCAGAAGGGCTTCGTGACCTGCTGATCACTAGACAAGCCAAAGCACTTCTTACGGGGGAAACTCGCCCGGCAGACCTTGCTGCTTGTCCGTCCGTGGACGCGCTGCTTCCTTGAACTACCTGACTATGAAAACTATATGCAGAGCGAGACAAACTTGTCCGAGGTCGGGTCTTCATTATACAGTATCTCCCCTGGGTCTCGGTCGCGCTGCGATTCATTCCTCGCATTGGACAGCCTTTCGGCTCATTCCTCGATTCGCTTCGCAACTCTCCTGGAGACAAGGACTCCGCGGTTCATTCCGAGTCGCATTTGCAAGCATTGCGGTTGATCGTGCGCCTTGGACAACCTTTCAGCGCATTTTTACCAGCGCAGCAGTTCAGCGGAGAGTACAAGAGAATCGCGTCAGATCGCCATATTATTGCACAAGTCAAAGATGTGGCTTCCGTTCGCAGCATGATGAACGTTAGGACGTTAGAGATATTGTATAGGTATATGAACCAAGATCCCTGTTCAATTTTCATTTGCACCTTGATGGTACCTAGAGCGTCACTGGCAGTGACTGCATGTATGTGTTGACCACTGATTGTTACCGTTTGTTGGGCGTCTCTTCACTAACTTTTAGTTACATCACAGATCGCAATGATCCATCAGTTGGTTATCGCAGTGCCATCTCGTATTCCACCTCAGCGTTGTTCCGGCCTGCATTGAGTTTGTATATTCCAATACTTCGTACTTACATGGACTAACTCGTACCATAGCCCTAGAATTCTCTGATCCATCCAAACTACATAATAATGGAACCCACCCTCAACGGTGAATTACAACGTCTAAGAAGCGACGTCGAGAGACTCTCCCTCGAGGCTCAGCGAAAGGAACGTGAAGTGGCTCTGTTGACGGGTGTTATATGCCGGCTAGAAACAGAACTAGTTCGGAATTCCAACACGACACCTGCACAAGCAACCATCGGCGGTGCCAACTTGCGCGACTTACTCCAACTCTCACCGCCGGATCTATTGGATCTGGATGATGACATTCGGTTGATGAGGAGGAAGGTGCTAGATAGAGCCCCCACGGGTTATGCTGAGGACGTGCAGGAGTATCTGACAAAGGCTATGAAGGAGGCTATGATCAGGAGGGGAGTTAGGTATGATGATGGCGCGAATTGCGATTGGAAGGGTCCATGGTTGAAGGTCTATCAGAAGCGGGATTTGGAGGATGATGCTAGGTTATTGGGGTTGAGGGATAGTAGGAGGGGCGTACCGAGTAGGACTGTAGGTGGGAGGTACGACATAACCGTTGCTTGCGATACGCTGATTGGTTTATCGCGATGGAGAGGTATCCATTGAACGTCCTTATTTTCTTTACTTCCCTTTCGGTTGTTAGGCATACCAAATACTTCAAACTCACTGACAGTTGTCTCAATGTTTCCTGCCAAAGACAAGGCTTTTCCCCACCAACCGATCTTTTCAAATACGTCAAGTCGACGGAGAGAGCCTGGGCCTCCGACAAATCATATGCGTAGTAGAGGCGTCATAACCAGTTGCCTGAGTACTAGTAGTACTACTGAAACAGAGACAGGGTTTCAGCCCCTTGTCACCTCGTCAGCAGTAGGCAGACCCAGCTACGTGAACACATACCTTGATAATCGCTATTCGACGTACCTGACTGACAAACTGTACCTGTCCTTGCAGCGTGCAAGCAATCGTCGAGTTCAAGTGCAAGTGCTAGTACATATGTTGTGCGTTGTTGATTTACGAAGGCGCTGCTAAACGAACACAAACAACCGCCAAGCATTGTCTCACAATTTTTCCTGTTTCGGCCTTGTTCCCATGACTCTAGCCTCGCGAAGGATGTTTCAATCGCTTGTTCCCCGTGGGTCCCACGGATATTGCACTAATAAGGCAATTATTGGCACCATCCTGCAGCTGATTGCTTGATTTTTTCCTCGTCCTTGTCACACGCGGTCGCCAGAGCAGCAGCAATCGACAACGTTCCGAGTCGAGGTACTTAAGCAACCTGAACTTCAGCATGGCTCCCCCATCAGAGCAGTCTCATCCGCCAGCGAACAACATATCTAGATCTCACTAGCAGAACCCGTTCTCTCGCACGCATCCTTCTCTAACGCAATGGCTTACACAACCTCCACCAAAAACACTCACTTCGCTATCTTCCCATCCGCTCCTGCTTCTACCAACGTATTTGCCCTCTTTGGTCATGCGCAGTCACCCCGTGATAACCACATCATGTGTGAAGACCTTCGAAAGGTCTTCGGTTCCACCATTACTATCCAGAAAAAGGAGAGCTCTGGCTCCGGCTCCTTTAGAGGCTTGAAGAAGATACTGAGTGCCATATAAATTTAATCGGCCCATCAATGCGGCATTTTCCTGTCCGCCGGTCCACATAGGATCCGGACATAGAGACACAAACCTCCTTGATATCGGCGCACCGGGAAACACCAGTTCCGCCCTCTGCTCACTACCATCCAATCGGTAGCACATTATAATCGCAACCGGGTGGAGATTATATCGGAGACGAACAAAATCTCGCTCTCGTACTGAGCGCTACCGCTGTATCAATGAGCAATACTAGCACCCACTGGGGCAATGATTTCGGGGCGTAGGGGGGATAAGATAATCAGGATGAACGCGCGTCCCTTAGTATATGATATAGTATACCTATACAGGAAACCATTTTTTCATTTCCCCATTCTCGAACGCCTCCTGTGCTTCGAACTTCTTGATGAACTGATCGCGAGTCAAGAAAGAATCAGATGCAATCGATATAAATGGCCATCTTTTAATAACTCAGGACTAGAACATGTCACTAGTGGGCGATATGAAAAAAGGTACCAAGATATCGATATCTTCATTCAGTGACAATGTAAAGTCAAAGACATCTTCCATTTGACAGCAAGTGTGGTTACACCAAACCCAGAGAGGTAAACATGACCCAGCTTAGTAGTAGCGCCCGATTCCACATATCGCACGCACAGCCTAGTCTGCCCACATCCCTACATGCCCATATGCCATCCGCCACAGCCCAGGCCTTCACGTTCATGCCAAGGGTCCGCCCAGTGCTTGCTGATCCCCACCAGGCATTAGTGGCGCAGATGGCGAACCCGAGGAAGATGTCAGAGCAGAAGCAGGTCCAGATACCGGAGTAGATGGAGCACCGAGAAGAGCATTCCGCGTCGCCGTAATGAGATCCCACTGATCTGTGTCCCCGTGCACATCAAACATGTTGACTCCAAGCATACCCGTCTTCTTTGCGAACGCGCCTTTCATGGCGAGCGATTCGGGATCGTCGTATGGAATAGTCTGCGTGTCTGAATGTAAGAAAGGCGTCGCCGAGCACTGGTCCCAAGAACGCTGGAAGCCGCTCGAGGGCAAGGCGGCGTACGTTCCGTCGTTGTTGCGCTGCAGGACCCCCTTGGTCACGAGATCTCGGAACTGGATTTGATGGTCGTCGTCAGAATTAATGGTGGTGCGCCTGGCGAGCCGATGGAGACGCGGGGCTTCGGGAGAGCGGCGTTGTCGAAGGTGGTTTACACCGATGCCGCTGACGTAGCCGTATGCTGGGATCCCAAGGACCAATTTGTTCGCGGGGAAACCTGCTGATGTCCAGGCGTTGTACCCGGCTGCTGCGTTCTGAGACGGCTGAGTAGAATTTCCACACCCATCGTACAAGGGCGCGTTCGGACCAGGGGGGTTTGCAGCTATAATTTCACTATGCATCAGTACTTTCCTATCGTTCGTTTCAAATGCAAACGGACCTTGAAAATCGTCATAATTCATCATCAATATCCAGTCTATTATCTCCGCGAAACCGGACGCGTCTTTGATAGGTTGACCGTCGGAGCCAGCGAAGGGAGTGTTCTGAACAGCGGCCGATATTTTCGCTCCAGGGGGGAGCTTCAGCCTAAGAAGCCTCAAAAACTCGAGCATGTTCTCTTCGTCGCTTGGACTTTCGGTGTTGCCTTGTCTGCCTGGCTGTCCGGGATACTCCCAATCGATATCGATACCATCGAGGTTGTATTCCTTGTAGCTGGCGAGGATGTTGTTGACAAAGGTATCCCTATTGGCAGGTGTGGACACGGCTTGTGAGAAATAGCTAAAAGTCTATGAGTAACGCGGAGGAAAAGCCAGCCTGGGTACAACTCACTGACTGCCGGTCCATCCCCCGATACTAAGCTTGACCAACTTCGCCGCAGCATGTGCATCTGTCACGAGTTTGCGAAGCAAGGTGGGCGCATCGGGCGAATCGAAGACCAGCTTGAACTCTGCGTTCGGGAGAGCGAACGCAAAGTCTATGCAGTCGAATAGGGCGAAGTTCATGTTGGTCGGGGGTGCCCAGTCGACAAAGTAGGTCATCACGAGCGTCCCTGGAATGGTAGCGCTGCGTTGGACCTGGGAATGGGTTGCTAGGTTCGCTGAATGTACGTTGTTTCCATAGCTAGAAGATAACTGGACTGAAGGAGCGGAAAGGGTAAGGAGCGGAAGGAGAGACAACGTTGCGAATATGCAGGATAACATAGTGAAAACGAAGAGAAGACGAAAGTAGATGAAAAGCAGAATGTCAATCATGATGAGAACATGCAAGGTAGATATGGGCGTTCTTAGCTTGGTGTCAACCACCGGGGCTGACGGCAAATGTGCGACTACAGCGGGGCATAAGTCAGCCGCAGGAACAGAGCGCACGATTCAAGCTGGGGCTGACGGCGATCCATCTAGACTTATGTTTGACCTGGGACTGCATCGTAAGTAATGTCAGTTCTAAAAGGGTGGATGTGGACGTACTACTGCGCAGCACATAATGTTAGCGATGAACTCGCATCTTTTCGTGTTTGGCGGCTTAAAGTGCAAAAACACTACATAGTGCTATTACTAGGCCCTGCTAGCCGGCGCAGCATTTTCGGTAAAATTTTGCTTGGCAGGTCAGCCGCAAGCGCAGACTGAGGCTGACGGTGATACATTCACCTGTCATAAATTCAAAAGGGCGGACATGGATGTACTACTGCGCCGTGCATAGTAGTGTACTCAGCACTGCACTTTTAGCCAAGACCCTATGTGCTCATACACGGTTTCTGGCAAAAAGTGCAGAACAACAGTCTCTACTATGCTCAGCTTTTTCGCCTGCAGCAAGTCAGCTCAGACGGAAGCTGACATTGATCGGTTTGACCTAGTAAGCGATGAGTGTGAAATGTAAAAGGGTTGACGTGGACGTACCACTTCACAAATTCACCCGGCGGCAAATGTGCACCGCATCATGGTAATTGCTAAATCTAAAACCGCGGAATGAGTGCAGCGGACGTTTGAAAGAGTACCACGCGAATCACTGTCGATTCATGGTCGGCCAAGGTTATATACATGTATATGCAAGCTGGAAAGAAGGCGTGGGCACTTCGGACAAGGCGTCAAAGGAATATACAGGCACGCGGTGGCTCAATAATATATTGTGACGGCCGCCATCACGCCGGTATAGTCAATGTTCCGAGCATTTGTACTGAGGCGTCGAGCCGGACAACGTGTCTAAAGGTACAGGATCTAATTGAACCCTTTCACAAACTTCCGAGGAGATAACTTGGGCGCGAACCTGAAGACATGGGTAGTAGTATAGGGTGACATTATTGGCCGGATTGAGAGGACAATGGCAACAGAAAGATTGACGATATGGATGCAGATGGGTGGCGACTTGGTATCCGAGCCAGTGAGGCGCCGTGATAAGCAAGTTTTGAAATCACGCGGTCTGGACAGAACAATGGGCTGAATGGCAAGAGGAGTCCCTATTTGGACATTCAAGATTAGAAGACTAGTCGAGGCTTCTGGTTCTTCTTAGCGATGTTTCACGTATCAAAAGACAGTTGATTTGATGTGCCAGGATAATCATGGATGGGGACGACGAGGACAATATGCGAATCACAGAAGTGCCATCTTAATTGGAGAAGCATTAGAGGATCTGTGGGAGGATTGCAATGAATCGAGTGTAGGAGTCAGATCCGCCATCTCGGGAGAGCGTAGTACCAGTAGTACTTACTACGGACCGATTCACAGCAGCAGGCAGTGTAACACGTCAGACAATTGTTTTTTTTCCAAATTAAATATTGACGTATTTAGCTCCTGTTGGTGGCTTACCCTTACCCTGGTTTCCAAGTGACAAGTGACTCAAAGAGTCCCACGCGCTGCGCGCGATTGCTATCACTCCGACTTGCTTTGTCGTGACTCGGAGTGGCGTACACCTGCATTGTCCATTCATGTAGTCTAGCTATACATGTTCTAAATAATTTATTGCTAGTGCACGTCAATCGAGTACTTCGGTTTCGGAAACACGTTGAGTTCGGTAAATCCGGCAATAATATTTGATCGGAGGATGTTAACCCCAATTAGGAAAGTGATACCAAGTGAATGGTACAGGATTACGTCGACTGACTCGGACTGCATCAAGTTCTCTTTCGGAACAACATCTACACGTTTCTATAAAAACCAAGTTCAATAAAAATGTACTCTACTCCCGCTTCATACCCACAGCTGGGCCCATCATCATGTCCTTCGTTACTCGTCGTTCTCAGTCTCCTCCTCCGATGCCTTCCCCTGAGCTCGTACCAACTCCTTTGCCATCACCGCCCCCCATCCTTCATCGCAGCTCTCGTTTGACCGTTCCTGCAAATAATTCACCACCTATTCCCCCTCGCCTCATAGGCTCACCACTTCTTCAGAATACTCTGAACGCGTCCAGGTCACATGATCGCTTAAACAGAAAGGCAAAGGAGGGTCTCTTTGGCGAGGACGACGAGTTTGGCGCGCGTAAACGTGCTTTGGGGAAGAGAAGTAACTCATCAATATCATCACTCCCTATTCTTTCTACTTCTCCAACTCGCATTGCAAGGCGCGCATTGGGTCAATCATCAACCCGTTATCGTTCCCCGCCACCTAGTCCTACAATCGCGTCCCCACCACCACCCGTTCCTCCCATCCCGGCATTCATGCTCACTCCAACTGACAAGAAGTCTGTCGTGCAGTCATTACCTAGTAAACGAGCAACTGCTCCTGCACAACACGCTCTCTTCGACCTCCCACCTTCTCTCTCGAGGCCACGTTGTGAATCAACTCCTCAGACTCCTGGCGCAATGACCTGTATGCAGTTTTTTACCATGCACAATACTCCTCGCAGAGACTGCCGAGTCTGAGCGTGCACGATGGATGACTATTCCCCTCGTAACGTCGAGCTTGCATCTTGATGAACCTTAATAAGGCCGCACCAGCTGCGTCTTGTGCCATCATTGTACACAACTTAACATCATTGGGACGACATTACTTGCCAACGACCTTCCTTGCACATAACCGTATATTCTTTCTTTAATATTTATACCTCCTTTATGTTCGCCACCCGCGCCTTAACGCGCTCGATGCACTCCCTCTGTCCCTTTCGCTCCTTCTAGTCTACCTCCCCCACATTCACTGATGTATTACCACCATTGCTCCCCCTCAATCGACAACCAACTCACAAAATGTCAGTGCTTACTTTACACGCATTTACTTATCCCGACCAGTACCATAATGTTCTTTATCGTGTTCCACCACTCGTAATGCTAAACTGTGTTTGAAACAATGTTCGACCGTTATCTTGGAAAGTTCAATTAGAATTCTATGTAAATCCCCTAATCCGAAGGTTCCTTTGTCGGAAACACGTACACTGTAGTTCCAACTTACTACTATTATCTTATGTGTACGTGTATGATATTCGGCCAAGCGACTTGTATCCTCGTAAACGACGCGAAAACAACTCGTCTGATCAAATCAAGTCGTCAAAGCCGAACTGAGTCACCGGCGCATCAATCACACGACCCACCCCGCCACATCGATACCCTAAGGTTTTAGCATCGAAATGAATCTTCCGACCCCCTACGGGTTTAACGCGGACGTCATCCTATCTGCTGACCAGTACCTACTCGGAAGGAACACCGCATAACGTTGTCTTATGACGTCCGAAGACTTTTCCAGAGAAAGCAGAAGCCGGCATCAACTGACGTTTTAGGTCAGTGGTACGCGCCACTCCGGCTCTTGTGCCCCTGGTGACGTTAGCTCCTACACATATGTAGGCGCTTAAAAGCGTCATTGATAATAAGCTAATATCCTGAACGTGCAACGAGGCAAGAGGAAATTTTCTTTCAGATCCGAGTCACATCCGACATAACACGGTCAGGGAGTGTGATAACTGAGTCATGGACCTGATGACGGCAAAAGATAGGTCGTCCTATACAGTCGGGTCATAGGGCGCTTGAAGTAGTCATGGGTAACAAAGACAATCTAGGACGTGCAAACAAGGCAAGAGAAAACTACACATGTTCCAAATTTGACAGGTCGGGCCCAGCAAATGGATTATGCGGGTGTCCTTAGTTTACCTTAGTGGTTTGCAGCGCTTGCGCGATACGGCGAAAGCGTCGGGCACGGACACGGGCACTATCAAATTCAGAATACCGCTGAGCGCTGAGCGCTGATTATGAGGATATGACGGGCCCGATAAAAGCGTGCAGTGCAAATGTCAATCAAATGTCACTTGCAAGTTCACCTCCTATAGCTATGTAGGATCGATGAGCATGCGGTCGATATTACTGCGACTTTCCCCTTTCGTGGACGGAGAGCTCGATTCAAGAAAAATGGTATTTATTTTGCGGTTCTCCGGAATAACGGCGAGCGACTAAGACTTTACTCGGCTTGTAGGGGCCGCCCGACCGTAGTACATGACGCCTATGGACTGCAAAATACAGTAGCATAAAAAAGGAAAGCTTAAATAATACCAATCATGATCATCTGTGCATAGTAATGCAACAACAGAAATTGGAAGATGTAGGGATACAGCTGTAGCGAAGAAGAAAAAAGTCAAGTCAGCTATCGATACATTTTTTTCTCGATTTGATTGAGAAACCGTACCAAATACACTATGATGAACCCAAGACAAAAAGGTGTTTTTGAAGGTCCAAAGATGCAGCGTCATGAAAGTCAATGTTTGGTTAAAGTCCCATTCTTTCCGCCAACGTCCGATCTCCAAATGCATATGCGTGACCTGCAAACCCTCGAGCCCTCCGTCCACCTCCGCCGCCGCCACCGCCACCACCATTGCGCCGAGAGAAACGGTCCCGATCTCGGTCTCTGTCGCGCTCTCCGTCGTGTTCGCGTGCGCGGTCTTTGTCCCGACGGTGGGACTCCCGTTCCCTATTATCATTTGGAGAGCGTGGACGTGTCCGCGAATCTTCATCAACCTCCATCTTCACATTGCTTGGTTTTGTACGGGGCTCTGTGGGGGAGAGGCGAGGCGAGCGAGGAGGTTCATGGTCTCTGGGAATACTCTGGCGCGCGTTGACAATGTGGGGTTTTGTTGGCGGAAGAGAGATATTGGAACGTGCGGGTGACACTTTGGGCTCCGAGAGACGCGGCTTCTTGTGAGCTCTGGGTCCGGTTGGGGGTAGCTTGACTACCCCATTACTCGTGGATGCGGGGTGATATAAGTCACGAGGGGTTGGCGCATATGAGTGGTGGTTAGCGTTCATTTGACGCAGAGAAGTTTGGAAGCTTTCATAGGACTTGTCTAGTTCCGACCTGTTGCGTCTATGTGTGAGTGAATATACACCTGGCTTATGAGGTCACTCACGACAACGAAGCGATTACTTGATGAGATTCTAATGAAACGTGCCACATGTGAGGGGCAATTAAAATAAAAGGAGTCAATGAACGCATACCTCGCAAAGCTCCTTCTAATCTCTCCACGACTCGTCGGAGTCCGCGAACTTCCTCCTTAAGCTTCCCAGTCTCCCCGGATTTGAGCATCTCATACAGCTCATCATTCTCTTCTTGCAGTATGCGTACCCTCTGCGTCAGTGCGGTGTTAACCGTACTCGAAGAAGAAGCCACTCCCGTTCCTTCACTAGAAGCTGCCTTGTTGATATGTGGTAACAACACAGAGACTAGCGCGGGGGGCAACGTAACCGAATCCGTGGTCGATGGGCCACTCTGGGCAGCAAGGTGCTGACGAAGACGTATCACTTCATCCTAGCCAAGACAAGACCGGGTCTATCAATACCACCAATCGGCGCCTGGAAAAGGAGCGCCTTACCGTTAGTTCAGCGACCTGGGCATCCCGTTTTCTGAGTTCTGTCTCAAGGTCTAGTTCCCTGGGTGTAGGGAGGTCCATTTAAAAGTGCTTGAGTGCACGGACAAGCTGGCCAGCCTGCGGAAGGTTCGTTAGAAGGGTGCCGTGTGCAAGACCGTTTGCGCGCCTCTTTGGGTTTGAGGTCACATGACGTAAACGGCGGTGGCTGTAAAACTTCGACTGGGTTACGTTGCAAGTCTTCATCTCACGATCATCATCATCATCTATGCGGTGGCATTCTACCGTACCGATACAGCTTTGGCTTGATTATTGATTGCAACGGGGGATGCTACGAGGGCCCGGTAGACAAGTTTGTTCATGATGCACTACTTCTAACTAGGCTGCGCAACCTTGATCGGTTTATCTGTGGAGAAGATATCCCTCTGCGGTTCTTTCTGTGTGTTTCTCATCCGGTAGATCAGCGGTGAGAATACACAAAATGAATCGCACGGACCGTCGTCAAGGCCGCTGGTTAAATGTTCGGGGGATGCTCCGGAATATGAAGTTGAATTCTTTGTACTTAACATTGCAGATATGAACCTCGAGAAGGCGGTATTACGACCTCGTCGGAGCAACGCTGGAATACATGCTATGAGCACACCTAATCACCATGGGAGACTTTAGCTTTAGCGCACTGATGCGAGTTAGACTCGTGACCGCTCTAAAGTGTGGAGTTTGACAGAAGAAGGCCCTGATGGGAGCAAAACATATGCATGACCATCGGTGCCGCATGTTGCACGCCGGGATCGTTAAGTAGATGGTCTGTTTTTAGCAAGTTATGACGCTTCGAAGCAACCACCGCTTACATTGAATTTAGGGTCGCACTGGATATAAGATGGCGCAGTCCGATCAGGCGGAGACCCTGATGTGACGATCTCCACCCTTCTCCACCGTCTCATTGTATACCATTGCCTATCATGGGTCTAACGAAGCTTTTTTCATTGATCACATTAACGCTGACCGCTTCTGCTGCCTCTTGGAATGCGACTCCTTTCAATCCCGCATCTGTCCCGCTCGCAGTTCGGTCGCCTTACCTGTCTGCGTGGCTGCCTCAAGGTGCTGGCACACCGCTGAATGGTGCCTGGCCCCAGTTTTGGACTGGATCGGTGGGTTTTGTTCATTATACACATTTGAATTGATTGAGACATTGTCGTGCAGACTCTTGGGTGGGCTGGCTATATCAGGGTTGATGATGCCACGTATACCTTCCTGGGTGATCCCGTTGTTGCAGGTGCCGAACTTGCCATCCAAAAAAGCCTAGAGGTGATTGTGGTTCGGTCGTATGCATGAGAGCACACTTATACACTATGCAGTTCACTTCAACACAAAGTGTTTTCGTGATGACTGCCGGGTCTGTGGACATAAATGTGAACTTCCTTAGCCCTGTCGAGGTACATATGTTGTCTTGTGCCTTTACATTGCAGCAAGTTATTTTTAGCCCACAGACATCCTTAAGCAGTCCATCCCCTTCTCGTATCTGGCACTGTCCGCAGTGTCTAATGATGGAGGGTCGCATACCGTCAGCGTATACACCGACATAAGCGCAGAATGGGTATCTGGAGATGGCTCTCTGACGGTCAACTGGACCACTTCTACGGGCAACATCTTGACTCATCAGGTCATGCTTGAGAACCAGGAGTTGTATATCCAGTATAGTGACCATATCCAACGTGAGCGATGAGTACAGCTTGCTGACCGACTGACTGACTGACTGAGACCATTCTTTAGAGGGAGCAGCCTACTACTCTACTCCGAATGTCTGCACCTTTGTCACTCAGTTTCCCTTTTCGCGCTGATTTCTTCATCATCCTTCATCAGTCTTCTTCTGTGACGTACCAAACCGGCCAAGATGTTGTTGTTCGAGCCCAATTCATCAACAACGGTCTTCTTGCCGATACTGAGGATACTAATTTTCGTGCCGTCAGTGACAATTGGCCAGTGTTTGCTTTCGCTCACGACCTTGGCATTGTGTCAACCACTGCCACCGTCCCTGTAATATATACCGTGGGTCACGTGAGAGATCCGGCAATTCAGTACATCGTCGCGAACGACGTCTACCAACCCCGAAGTATTTACTTCTGGAGTGCTTACTCAAGCGTCGCGGACTTGGTACGTCCATAGTCCTATTTGAGTTATCACTAGTCCCAGAAATTATGCTCCAGATTTCTGACCTCGTTGGGGACTACTCTACTGCACTAGGACGTGCGCAAGCGTTCGACCGGAAGGTCCAGAGCGATGCCTTGGCCATTTCAAGTAATTATGCTGGTGTCGTCGCGCTGTCGGTTCGTCAAGCCTTCGGAGCCTTGGAGCTCACGTTGTCGAAGAACAGTGATGGAAGTTGGAACACAGATGATATCCTGATGTTCTTGAAGGGTAATACGTCGCTACTTTCAACCAAAATCAGTTGTTTGATACGAACACCCCAGAGATCTCTAGCGATGGCGTAGGTGATATACCTTGGAGCTGTGGGTCGCTCACTTTCGCTAATGTAGAACGTGAACACTGTGGATGTCATCATGCCTGCATGGCCTATTTTCTTGTACACCAATCCCACACTTGGAAAATATCTCCTACTCGGCCTCCTTGAGTACCAAGCAACCGGTCAATATCCTAATGCTTGGGCTGCCCATGATCTTGGTTCGTCTTCGATAGAAAATCACCGAGTTTCCATAATTACTCTTATTGTGAATTAGGTTCGTCCTACCCCAACGCTACGGGCCACAATGCTGGTAACGATGAAGCCATGCCTCTCGAAGGTGATCCCCCTTTCTATGCACATACTCAATTTCTCAGCGCCTATGCTTTCAGAGTGCGGAAACATGCTCATTATGGCTTTGAGTTACACTCAGAAGTCTAATGACAGTTCCTTGATCACCCAATATGTCAGTGTTCACATGACCTCGTCTCCCATATGTTCACCACTTTCTACAGACGGACCTTCTTAACCAATGGACCGGATACCTCGTCGCAGAAGCCCTCATTCCTGCAAATCAAATCAGCACAGATGATTTTGCAGGGGCTCTCGCCAACCAAACCAATCTAGCCATTAAGGGTGTGATAGGCATCCAGGCCATGTCTGTGATTTCGGGCATATTGGGCGACACCGCTAATCAACGAAACTACAGTGCACGTCATTGTTGAAGTTCTAGACTGACATGAACTTACTCTTCGAATATTCAGTCAATCGTACAGCGCTATGTCCCGCAAATACTTAACTATGCCACATCGAGCGACGGGCTGCACCTCACCTTGAATTACGGAAATGAAAGCTCGTAAGTCTCGCGTATAAAATCTGCGTTTTGCGTGACATTACTGACAGTGTCAAGTTGGGGCTTGTCATACAACCTGTATGCAGATAAGTTACTTGGCACCAATGTTTTTCCAGAGTCTGTCTATGACATGCGTAAGTCCGCCTGTCACTCGCCGTGAACAGTTCTGAACAGCTTCGTAGAAACTGCGTGGTATGCCACCGTCGTCAGTGAGTGAATCACAGGCAATTAATGATTGACGCATACAACTATTCCTTCAAGATGCTTACGGTGTCCCTTTGGACACTCGGTGAGTTGCTTCTTGACCTAAGTGAACAACGTAACCAACAGATTCATAGCCACACATACACTAAATCCGACTGGGAGTCATGGACTGCTGCTATCATGACCAACACGACAACACGAGACATGTTCATTGATTCTGTCTACAAGTATGCTGCTGATGGTGAAAGTAACCAGCCGTTGGGAGACTGGTATGAGACACTTACTGGCGCTGTGTATGAATTCAGGGCCCGCCCGGTCGTTGGCGGTCATTTGGCTTTGGTGAGCGCTGCAGATAACACATTTCGTTGATGTGCTGATTTAGTCGAAAGCTTGCTTTGTGAACTACCGATTCATTTCATATCGATTCGAAAACTAGCTTGTTGTGATTCCACCAAGCGTCATGAATATGTAGTGTTTGAGTTGTCTCAGGTGTAGTACGTAGTCAGCGACCTGGAGCGACAATTCACGGCCAAGGTTCATGCTGTGTACACATTTGAGCTAGATGAGGTCATGCGTGGTAGCCTCTGGTAATATAATTGTTTGGGTGCTCAGCGCTCAGTGCCTCACCTCAAGGCCTGATTACTGAGCGTGGAAGAGTTATATGCAGAATGTAAATGACTAAGCACCTGGTGGAATGAACTGCAATCAACTTCAGCGAACAACACTTATCTTGCATTTCTCTTGATATGCGTATCTGTCTCTTGCCGACGGAAACCCTACATCGTATATTCACAACTATCTATGAAGACTCCATACCAATCACTCGTGCTACACTTGCTGCTCTTGCAAGAACTTGCAGGACATTCAAGGAGCCTGCGCTCGATATCCTTTGGAAACGTTTGGATGGGTTCGAGCCACTCTTCTTGTGCTTGCCTGAAAGTGTTAGAACCAGAAACGTGCAAGGAAATTTGGTGAGTTAGATGTTCCAGATGTGACTCTACATGGTATGGAATGCTTAATTTTGAAATAGACACTCAAAAGACCACCCTTCAAAAAAGAGTGGAGGATTGTTTGCCAATATGCACAACGTATCCACTTTTTGAGCATTGATCACACGGCTCTAGACATCATAGACGACCGGGTCATACAGACGCTAGTGTCTACGCCACCACTCACACTGCTGTTACCGAATCTCCGTACTTTGCGTTGGTGGGATGATCGAGAAAGTTTTCTTCCGTTGTTGCGCACCTTGCTTGGGCCAACTATCACATCACTGGAGCTTGGCTCTGGCGATTGGACACCCTCTTTTGCCAGATCTGCTTTGTTAGCCTCGCTCAGTGCTCGATGTCCATTCATTCGGGAATTCCGCTGCATAGGGTACTACGAGGATTCCCAAGAAAGTTTGGATGTAATATGCGAAGTTGTGTGTGGCTTGCGGAAGCTCTCTCATTTTGACACAGGAGTCCTTAACACACAAGTGCTTGTTCATCTGGCTTCCTTATCGTCGCTGAAGTCTCTTTCCTTCGAGACATGCGACTTGAACGACATCCATCCCAATTCCACTGCAACATTTATCCACCAACTCAATGACGTGACCATTTCTACATCATCACCCTCTGCTCTCACTCAGTATCTCAGAAATGTCCATTTTCTTTCTTGTCGATCGGTGACGTTGTTGTTCGATGGAAACGATGTGTGGCCACCTTATGATCCTTTGGATATTCCGGACCTCATTGTCTCCCTCTCAGAGAGCTTCTCTCCCGATCTCGAGCAAATCGTGGTCTACTTCGACTCCCAACTCAAAATCAATGAAGAACTAAACAATCCCCGTTTTGCCATTGCATTTGACGCGGTTGCTCCGTTGCTGTCGTTGAGTCGCTTAAAAACATTGAATCTCTCTTGGCTCTGTACATCGGCCATCGACGATGGCTCACTCAAGAGAATGGCACAATCTTGGCCTCAGCTCGAGGAGTTCCATTTTGGAGGAGGGATTCGTTGGCTGATCCCACCATCACTCACCTTCATAGGACTCGTCCACCTCGTACAACATTGCCGGCGCTTGCATACCATTGAAATGACCTTTCATGCCAGTTCAATCGACACCAACAGCGACTTGTTCTCTAAAATTATTCCCAATAAGAATATCACAAGCATAGACGTAGGGATCTCTCCAATCGTGGATTCCCTCATTGTGGCCTGTCAACTGCATGCCTTACTACCCAATTTGACTAGCGTTTTCACCTTCCAATCGTTCGAGGACATATCCCCCCTGCCGGCGCTATTTGAAAATCTCGAGGTTGGATGGGGAAGGGTAGACACATACCTCGAGGCGCTTACTACAGGCGCAAAGATAAAAGATAAAATAGACCAAAGACCATAAGGCTAGTCCTTGTTGCTGGCCTGATATACTCAGGACCCTGGGTATGTCAAATTATCAATCGCTTGGTAACTTGGAAACTCACAAGCTGCAATGCTATACATTGGCTTAGCCAATGGTATACCTATACCCAACCTATACCATTGCAGAACCTTCTTGCTACTTTCAATTGAGGCTGTCTTCGTGGTAGTCGTCTATTTATACCACGACATCTACACTATACATTATGCACTTGTTCTCCTCGGCAGTCGATAATAATATCAGTCCGTCTCGATATAATACATGAAGTATAACATATAATTACACCTAGCGTCCATCGACATTCTGTTCCGTGAGTACATTTTAACTTGTTGCTTGAGAGGGATTTACATAAGTTTATGTAAAGGTTGTTTGATTCACCGGATCTGGGATGATGTCATGCAATCGAGCTGTCTTCGATCCTAAGCGGAAAATTACGATGTGGACTACCAATCGCCTATAATTGCAAAGGACTCAAACCAGAAGTCCATGTTCCTTCTTTCGTTACGACCATGATGAAGAGAGCTCGTAGCCCGAGCCCACTTGCGATGTCAAAGAAAGGCAGGACCACTGACTCTCTCTTTGCACCCATAAAGATTGCAACAGCAGAAGCTGCAGCTACCGTTCAGGCTGACCCGCCATTCCTGCGGCTCTTGGACGCATTACGCAATGTTGTACAGAAGCCCCCGAAAGGACAATCGGTAATTTACTGGATGAGGATGGGAGACCTGCGTAGTAGGTGTTGCTTCTTTTCAGTATGCGTGTCCATTTTGACCCCCTGTTCCAGTTTCCGATAACAAAGCTCTCGCCCTTGCGTCTGCTCAGGCGGTCGAAGATCAAATCCCGCTCGTGGTTTTGCATGTCTTAAGCCCACAGGATTATATTGCACACGACAGGAGCAAAACAAGAATTGATTTCGTTCTTCGTAACCTTTCACGAGTGAAGGTGAAACGTCTCTGTTACCTGTACTTCGCTACAAGAGGCTAATTTATACTTTTGTAGGACGAGCTCGCAAAATTAAATATACCCCTTTACACTATCACACATACGCCGCGAACGACAGTGCCAACTCGTGTTATCTCGGTCTTGCAGACTCTCCAGGCCACTCGACTCTTTGCGAACATCGAATACGAGGTCGATGAGCTTCGGCGTGACATCGAAGTCTGCTCTTTAGCCAAGAACGCGGGCATAAGGCCTACGTATGTACATGATAGGGGTATTATTGAGCCAGGCGTCGTGAAAACGAAGGATGGCAGAACATACACGGTATGATCACCTTATCACCTGTTCTGTTATTCTCAGTCTATGCCTTTCAGGTCTACTCGCCGTATCAACGGAACTGGATTGGCATTCTAAATTCGAACCTCTCAGATTATTTGAACGAGTTCCCATCTCCAAAACCCAACCCCCCCGACAATTAGGGAGAATCACGTCTTTGGACCGTTATTCGATGCTGATGTACCCGTGTCAGTTCATGGCTTCGAACTTGATCCTGAAGAGACCGCCAATATGACCAAGATATGGCCAGCAGGAACATCTTCTGCTAATGAGGTAAGTCACGTATTACATTGGAAGAGGCATCGCAATTAAACATTTATCAGATGCTTTCTCGGTTCTTGTATACCAAAGCGCGCGCGACGCAGCTTGGAGCAGTTGATCCTCTGGCTGATGGGGTAGAGAATTCCGACAAACACAGCCGGGTCCTCTTGTATGATGAGGCTCGCGACAGAGGGGACAAGGACACTACGTCGCGGTTGAGCCCCTACCTATCTGCTGGAGTTATTTCTGTCAGGGAATGCGTTCGTCAAACTATGAAGCTTCTCGGAATTCAGAAAGTGGAGGCTGGACGCTCGTCGGGCGTAGGTCGCTGGGTGCAGGAACTCGGTCTGTTTTTTTTTTCAAATGCCCTGGACACATAATTGATGCATCATGGAGTAGCTTGGCGAGATTTTTACACCAATGTCCTTGCATACTACCCGCGAGTATCCATGGGTCGACCTTTTCAGGAGAGGTTTGCTGATGTTAAGTGGGAAGTTAACGAGGAGCATCTGAATGCTTGGAAAGAGGGAAGAACTGGCATTCCTATCGTCGATGCCACGATGAGGCAGATAAGCACCATGGGTATGTTTTTGTGTCGATCCTTCGGTGTATTGATTCATCAGACTATCAGGCTGGACTCATAATCGTATGCGCATGATTGTCGCTATGTTCCTGTCCAAGGACCTTATGTTGGATTGGCGGCTAGGAGAGCGCGTGAGCTCGTCTCCTTGTTTTCATTTTCATGCGCTTCCCTGACGAGCGCTCGCAGTATTTCATGGAAAAGCTCATAGATGGTGATCTTGCAAGCAACAACGGCGGTTGGCAATGGAGTGCCTCTACTGGAGTAGACCCAGTGCCCTACTTCCGGATCTTCAATCCCTATACACAATCCTCCAAGGCAGATCCAACAGGTGATTTTATAAGGACATTCGTACCAGAGCTGAAGAATCTCTATGGATCTGGTAAGTATAGGCTGACTGGCTGCTCGGCGTTCAATTGATGTTTGTTTACGAATGCAGATATCCATAACCCTCCAACCAAGGTTGCTGATAAATTGGGGTATCCGAGACCCATCGTCAACCATGCTGAAGCGAGGGTGAGGGCTATTAGGAGGTACAAGACACCTGGTGAAGAGTGACCGGCACAACCTACGCATAGCATCAGGAACACGAGATGACAAGTAGAGTGATAGAGCAAACCATCATAAATCAAACTCGTCGTCATCCTGATCTGTTTGTCCACCTCTTCGTAATTTCATTGCGTTTGAAGATGACGAGACGTTGTATGTGACACCGGATTCATAAGCATTCCGCGCTTTTTGAAGGACACCTGTCGAAGGACAATTAGACATAGGTCACGAGGTATGGAGAATATCACTACCGCTATTCGCTAGCCTAAGCTCGAGTACCGCAGTCTCAAACGTGTCATTATTTCCGAGTTCTTCGAACCCAATAAGACTAAGAATTAATGAATGATTGAATGACATTGACAAGAACCCATAAGACATACCGGTCTTTTGAGACCCCATCGATGAAGCACATCAGGCATGGAAGGACTTGAATGGCAAGCTTCTCGACCAGCCATGGCATGTTCTCCACGAAAACACGAATAAAACGCGTAGCATAGTATTTCGGCGCGAGTTTCTGACGAGTCCATCAGTAATCTGGTTTCTTTGAGGCGCGAGACATTACTCACTGCAAGGTGCTTGTCCATGATCTCGCATCTCCTGAAATTACTATGGTAAAAGTGAATCACGCAGTGTGGCTCATTCCTAAAAGCACGATAATGTAGCAAAGAGCGAGCCGAACAGAGCGAGCAACTTACGCACTTATCCGAATGGCCTCTTTCTCGTTCGTGATCTCCATGTATCTCCCATGGGCATTTTCTCTCATGTCTTTGGCTCTTTGCATTCTGCAGATGTTTGTGTCGTTTGTCGGACAGTGAACGCCAATGGAACGTACGACTCACTCGAGCCTGAGCTGCTCTAAGCCCCGATCTCGCACTGTTGCATCAGCGTCGTTCTCTATCTCTGCTTCAAGTTCTGCAAAGATGGCATCGTCGTCGTCTTCATCTTCCCCCCGGGAATCATTGGATTCTACGAGACGCGATGCTAGAGAGTCTAACTTTGAATGTATTCTGGTCATGATGAGCTAGCAGAAGTTGCTGTGTGCTCATTTCCGACTCACACATTGTTCATGATTTCCACTACTAACTCTTGCGAGCTGTGAATAGCTGAAGAGATGTGAGGGCAATATCGAGTTCAGTGGACAGTGAATCAATGAATGACAAAACGTGATTACTTGTTTAGGGCCCCTTTTGGGTGCAGCTTCAGTCAGGACTTTACGTCAATCACTCTCCACGATGAAGCTTGTCGGTAAATACGTCGACAAAAGCGGGGCTGTGAGTCATTCAGGATGTTCGTTAGTGAATAATTGATTGATTGATTTGAACAGGGCTATGTCAACCTCCGACCCGAGGATGATGAAGATATGTGGCATCTCTACAACATTATACAACAGGGTGATCTTGTGCGAGCACCAGCCATTCGGTAGGACATTGGCACGATCAGCGATTCTCTTACATGCTAAATACTTGATAGTCGCGTACAGAATGTATCTGCTACTGGATCTACCGAATCTCATCGTGTCAAGTTGAACCTCACCATCAAGGTATCCCGAGTCGAATTCTCCTCATCGGGAGCACCTTCGTCATCAGCAGATCAAGCTTCTTCTCCTGTGGGATCTTCATCTGCAGCACCCACAACCACTGCAGCACTGCATATCTCTGGCCCTGTTGCATCTGAAAACCGACATGTGAAGATGGGCGCGTTTCATACACTTGACATTGAGAGTAATCGCGATGTACGCATCGAGAAGGTTGACGGATGGGACAGTGTGGCCCTTGCTCGTGTCGAGGAATCTTGTGTGCCAGGACGCGGCGCGGAGGTAGGCGCAGTTGTATGCGGAGAAGGCACAGCCGCGTTTTGTCTCCTTTCACAACACATGACACTGGTCACCCATCGGATATCGGTTCCCATACCGCGCAAGGCTTCTGCGCCTGGAACGTCTCAGTACGAGAAGGCGATGGCGAGATTTTACGCCACACTCTACGATGCATTTGTGCGACACATACCTTATACGTCACCTAGTTTGCGGGCAATTGTGCTTGCAAGCCCAGGTTGGGTACGAGAAGGTGTTTTCAATGCAATGATGATAGAAGCCGGGAGGAGGGGGGACAAGACATTGTCCAAGGCTTTGCGAGAAAAGACCGTGAAAGTGCACGTCAGTAGCGCGCATGTCCACAGTCTTGTTGAAGTTCTCAAGAGTCCAGAGGTATGATTTTTGGTATTAGACTTTGTCACATAGGTGCATTTATTGCACTTGCAGATCGTTGCACAGCTCAAGGAAACGAAATTTGCGCGCGAGGGAATAGTTCTTGATAAGTAGGCATGCACGTGGTGGCAGCTGTGCTATTAATACTGATTTCTTTTGTCAGGTTCTTCAAGATGCTTGGTGTGGATGAGATGCGCGCGTGGTATGGTCCCGATCACGTCCGTTTAGCGGCAGATCGTGGAGCCATAGGGACACTCCTCATCTCCGACGAGCTTTTCCGGTGAGATGATCGTGTCACGCACTAGCATACTGCAGCTCAAGCAATTCGGACAGTGCGAGTGACCCGAAGCTGCGGAAGACATATGTCGAACTCGTCGAAGGAGTACAACAAAAGGGCGCAGAAGTTGTCATGTTCTCGAGCATGCACGAATCCGGTCAACGTATGTGTCTAAACCTGCTTCTATCCATCGTACTTATGAGGATGCAGAGTTGAATCAACTGACGGGTATTGCTGCAATACTCACATTCCCTCTCGATGTCGAAGTCGTAGAGGCAGAAGAAAGAGAAGCAGGAGAGGAGGAGAGAAGACAACAGGAAGCAAAGACGCTGGATGGTGGTGGATAAAGATGCGAGGTGCCATCAAGTAAAATATGATGAGGTTATTTCCAGGTAAGCTCGTGTGGTTACTTATATCCTGCTACTTATGTGCGCTGAACGCGCTTTCTGTATGCTTCCCAACCAGCAGCTTGATATCTCTGAGCTTGCTTAAGAACCTCCCGTGTATCCACATTTTCGCCCTTGCCATAAATGCCTCTTCCAACAATGATAACGTCACAACCACTTTCAAAAACAACTTGCTCTGGAGTGCGGTATTGCTGACCCATAGCATCGCCTGTGGCATCTAAGCCCACTCCTGGCGCGAGAACCAAGAAATCTTCCCTCGCAATGTTATCAGTATCGGATGCACCGACACCCTCCATGCGATGTTGAGCAATGAAGCCGATGACAAAATCCCTGCGAGCTCGAGCCATGCGGACTGCATCTTCTGTATATGACCCAGTGGTCAGTGCACCCTTGGAGCTCATTTCTGCCAGGAGTATGAGCCCCCGATCTTTTGGAATGCCAACCGAGGCGAGGCCAGTGATAATTGATGGTCCCGGAACAGCATGAGCGTTGGTGATATGAGCCCAGTCTGCGATCTTGTAGATCCCTTTTGAATACTGCAATACCACGGTACTTCCTAAGAGTCATGATACTCAGTGAACTGTCATCCAAAACCTGCAATACGTTACCTATGTCAGCGAATTTACGATCCTCAAATATTAAAAACTTGTGCTTTTCGCTAAGTTCTCGGAGGCGGTCGATCACAGTCGCGTCAAAATCTTCGAGTACATCGATATGGGTCTTTCAGTAGCGCCATAAGCATTAAGTGAGAGCGTGGAAGAAGTGACAGATGCCTTTATAAGACAAACATGAGGACCAACTGCCTCGATGATGTCGAAGAAGTCTTTGGATTTAGTCACGTCGACGCTAACAGAGAGATTCGACTGCTTTTCCTCCATGATTTCGAGCAGAGCCCTTGCAGCTTTGTTGGCATGTTTCTTTGCTCGCTCGTTGTATGTCTGGAGATGAGGAGACGACATGATGGTCACTAGCAGAACGAGCTTGATTGCGAAATCTATCGCGATCGAGGATAAATTTGGTTCTGCTATCTTATCATCTATTCTCAGGCTTTTTGACTGTTCTTGATCAACCAAATGTCGGCTTCAGCTATTCGGGAACGTGAAGACGATGAAGAACTTGCTCGTTCACCCAAACGCACCAAAGTCGACGAGTTGACTGATGACGGGCCCATCGTCGCTGACACCTCCCCGCTCATGAGCGCGGCTCTTGCCGTTGCAAACTCAAAAGAGGGCTCCTCAGCAGTTGCAGCTGAAAGCGTCCTCCCTCCTAGCCATGCTCTCTTGGGCATAGCACCTACGTTCTCTTCGGATGGACTTCGTCAGGTCCTTCAGACCGACGTCGGGATCTCCGAGTATATAAGCCGGGACGTTCCTCCCATCAGCGGTATCATAAAACAACGGTAAGTGTTCGTGTTTACAATGAAACTGCAACTGGACATGAATATATCATAGGTTCACAGACTTCTTGGTGTTCGAAGTGAATCAAGATCACCAGGTTATTCATCTCAAGTCGTTGGACATGCCAGAGTCATCTTCGAAGAAGGGGAAAGGTAACAACGAAGGAAGTTCTAGCACCGCCGTTGCTGAGGCCTCAATGGCCCCACCACAGGAGCCCGTCACCAGCGCTGAGTCGAATACTGCAGAGCAACTGTCTGCTAGCACTGAAGCAAAGGACAAAGATGATTCCACTCCCGCAGACACACTCTGGAACGATCAATTCACGGAAAAACTAACACCGTATCTTAGCGAGGCTTCCATCGACCAATTGAAAACGATGTTCCTTGAAGGACGCGAGCCTCCGAGAGTGACCGACAGCGGTTGGGGAGGTCGACTTACCCAAACTACCGAGGACGGTACTGAAACCCCAGATACGGCGAAGCCATCAGAAGAAGTGGATGCATTGCAGAGCGATGACACAGGGAAAAGAGGAAAGAACAGAAACAGTCGCGGTGGCCGTGGTGGTCGAGGTGGCCGTGGTGGCCGCGGACGAGGTCGCGGTGGCCGGCAGGGAGGAGAAAGAGAAGATCACAGAAAAGTGCTCAGCGAGGTAAGGCGAGATAACCAGGCCCTCTTACTATGAGCCCTTACCCCTTGACAGCCGATTTCCTCCAAAACGGACCGGACAACTTTACATCAAGTTGTTCGAGAGTTATTTGGCGGAAAGCTTGACAGCGAGACTGATATGTCGACCCCTGCTGGGGACGATGGATCTCGCATAGTTATAAAATGGTCACGCCACGGTGGTGGTCGGGGCGGTGGTCGTGGAGGTCGTGGAGGTATGTTTCACCATCTGTTATAAGAGATCTCTCATCATTCTGCTGATATCTTCGTAGGTCGAGGCGACCGCTCGGACAGGGGAAATCATCCTCCTTATATTCATTTCACTCTCCAGAAAACCAACCGTGATACCCAAGACGCTCTCGGCTACTTATCACGTACTCTCCATGTAAACATAAAAGACTTGGCTGTTGCAGGAACAAAAGACAAACGCGGTGTCACTGTCCAGCGTGTGTCGTTGCGACGCGGGAACAAACCTGTGGAGGATGTATGGAAATCTGCGAATCAATCCAACAGGCGGTCCGTACAAGAGATTCTATCCCAGCGTGGCGACCGTGGAGTTAGAATAGCGGATTTCAGTTATCGCAAGGCTGGTTTAGAACTTGGCATGCTGAAAGGAAATGCATTCGTTATCACACTTCGGTATGTTTCAAGTGATACTGTCCTGAAGTTCGGTTAACAAGGTTATGAAGTAACGTTCAGGTAGAAAATGTAGAAACTCTTGACCGTGCCATGAACTCGATCAAGCACAAAGGGTTCATCAATTATTACGGTGAGTTCGATATCCAGCAAACTACTGATTCGTCTGAAATACAACTCCAGGAATGCAGCGTTTTGGGACAGCCGCAGTGCCAACTCACTCCATTGGCTTGGCAATTCTGAAATCTGATTGGCACAAAGCTGTCTCCCTCATCCTCCAGAATCGGCCTGGAGAACACCCTGAAGTTGTCGCAGCCCGTGATGCGTGGTTAGTGGATGGCAATTTAGATCGTGCCCTGGCTTTAATGCCCAGACGGGTGGTTGCGGAGCGCTGCATTCTCGAGAGCTACAAGAAGCAAGGTGGAGAAACCAGGAACGCAATGGGTGCCCTGTCCACGGTATGTCAAGACTCTGTTCGAGAAACATTGTTGTTATTCATATAGTTCAACTTAGATTCCTCGAAACTTGCGGCTCATGTATGTCCATGCATACCAATCCTACGTGTGGAATGCCATCGTCTCGGAGCGAATTCGCATACACGGTCCTGATAAAGCGGTACCTGGTGATCTCGTCTTCGAGAGCGAGCCGGCCGCCAAGGGAGGGAGTGGAGAGAATGATGAGATGGAAGTGGACGATGATGCGGGTAATGAGGAGCAAGTCACCACAGAGGGAAAGGGTTAGTTCCTTTTTCTGTTCTTTATGTTCTTCTAATTGAAATATGTCATTTAAGGCATGAGCTATCGTGAGCGCAAGAAAGCTGCCAAGGCTGCTTATGTTGCACCAAGTATCAAAATACTCACTGAGGAGGATGCCCATCAGTACCCGATATTCGACGTAATCATGCCACTCCCAGGTAGAGATGTTGATTACCCAGGTGGTACGCTCGGAGAGCGCTATCGGGAATTCCTGCGCCTGGATGGACTCGACCCGGATAACTTCATCCGCAAACAAAAGTACACCAGACCTGTCCTATGATAAGCGAAACTGACACAACATCCCCAGAGAGTACACTCTTAATGGCTCCTACAGAAAAATCCTCCAGATTCCAAAAGATCTCTCGTGGTCTACACTCAGGTATACAGACCCAGATGTCCCGCTTGCACAAGCAGATGAAGACAAGCTCCTGGGATTTGACCCACCAGTTATCGCTGACGATGGGAAATTTCTCGCGCTCCAGATTAACTTGACACTGGGGACAGCCGCGTACGCCACAATGGCGTTGCGAGAGGTTACCAAGACTGAGACAAGTTCGCATTTCCAGACTGGTCTTACTCAGGCCTCTGAAGACCAGCAGTTTCGAGGTGTAGTAGCAGGACTCGGAGATGTTGCAGAATTGGATGACGATGACACAGAGATGGAAGTATCAAATACGTTAGATTCATAGCAACAGAATGTCTTATGTAGCAGGTGTCCCCGGCGATTATTTTACTGCCTTTCGGGGGAAAGTACCCACGTAGCCGATGCACACTGCATATGTGATGAACCGCGATGCACAGCCTATATACCAAAATTCAGCATAACTTATTCATCGAGTTCCAAACAACTACCGCTCTCGCAACTGGTTTGCGAGTTACTTTTCCCATTAGCTGAACTCCGGTCATTTACATCGCCAAACTTTTGACGTGTCCTATCATATTCACTGTTCCAGCGCGGGTCGTGGATATTATCCTCTAAGCTTGCGCCTCTGAAAGAGAATATGGGGAAAGTAGAACGTATAGTCTTTCTGTCGCTCATTCTCGATCTCTTTGGTGAGTGAATGTGCTCAGTTTTGAAAATCATAATGAGTCTGAAGCCTCGGGAAAGCATTTACAATCCCTCTACCCTTGTTCCCTCGCATAATCGAGTGGTATACTGTGGTAAGCACCCCATGCCACGTGTCTCTAGTTCCTTCAGTGATTATGTAGAGAGAAATCTCCGACACCAATGGCCTCCTTTCCAGAACGCTACGGTTTGTTTCAGCTGTACGAGGCGTCTTCTATAAGCCACTACAAAACTCCCAGAGATGGGATGTGGTTTTCCTTGGTTGGTCTAGTTTAAGCCACGCGACAAGGTTCATGCTGATTTGATAATTCCCTGAAGGTGGTCTGATGGGTTCTGCTTTCTCGTACGTCTGCGGTCACGTTCCCAGTTTATTTGAGGTTGTATTCACTTAGTATTTGCAGCACTCTGCAGTTCTTGGTATCGCCACATATAGGATCCCTCTCCGACAAGTATGGGCGCAGGAACGTCCTTTTGATCAGTATGCTAGGAAACATATTGTCTGCGCTCGTGTGAGTGCCGACGTCACTCTTATCATCGAGTTCCTGAACCGATTCTCCGCCAGTTGGATTCAGTCTACCACTTTTGCTTCTTACATGCTTTCCCGCGTCATAGGGGGTCTTAGTGAAGGCAATGTGCAACTTGCTACGTCAGTTCTCCATCATAATCCAGGAACTGGAGCTGATCGTCATCGTCAACAGTGCGATCCTCTCGGATGTTTCAACACCTAGGAACCGATCTAAAGCCCTTGCACACGTTGGAATCGCGTTTGCTATCTGTTTTTGCATTGGGCCTCCGATCGGAGCTTATTTTGCCTCGAGGCCAGTTCCCCTATCTGGTGCTCTACAAATGGAATTGAACGTATACGCGGTCCCGGCATTGTTGACACTCGTACTACTTGTCGCAGAAACCTTGTTCCTGGCAGTTGCTCTTCCCGAAACCCGAAATACCCGGCCTGACAAGCACGATGACGATGATGCTCTAGAAGTTCATGTCAACGAGAAGTCGAAGGCTGCTTCCGCGATACGGAGTGTGAAAGAGAGGGCTGAACTTCTGCGGGTCTTGCGCAAACTCCATCTCCTTTTCTTAGGAATCTTCTCAGGCGTAGAATTCACCCTCACTTTCCTTACCTTCGATCGTGCGTTAACTTTAAAATGCTTCCGAAGTCATGCGCTCAAACTCCAATGACCAGTATTTGATTGGAATAACACACAGAATGGAGCATTGATCGGCTCCATTGGCATTATCAGTGCTCTTTTACAGGGAGGATACGTCCGTCGTGCCATCTCCAAAGTAGGAGAAGGGAAAATGGCACAACGAGGGGTCTCGAGCTGCGCCCTGGGCCTCGTGCTCCTAGCCGCCCTGCCTCGCTTCGTGTCCACCCAACCAAAAATCGCTGTCGGACTGCTGCGAGCCGCAGCAGTCTGTCTGGCCTTCACTTCCGCGACAGTCGTAAGCTCGCTTACTGCACACGCCTCCCTCCAGTGCGACGAGGGCTTCGACAAAGATACAGGCAAACCCGCGGCCGAACATCCTGAATTGGCCAAAGGCAAGGCACTAGGTGAATTCCGGTCATCAGGTCAGCTGGGTCGCGCAATAGGGCCGTTGCTCGGTAAGCTTTAAGTTATGTCCAAAAAGTGTACAGGCTGACTTGATCACCACTCGTCAGCATGCGCTTCATATTGGACCTTCGGGCCGTCCATTACTTATGCTGTGAGCGCAATAGCTATGCTGACTTTGTCAGCATCCATGAAAACCGTCGCCGTTTTACCGGAAAAATCATCATAATGAGATCGCCGCATCAGTAAGTGGGTGACTTTTCGCAATATTTCTAGATTTTGATTCAAACCTTAAAAGTCGGAGTGTCGTCTCGCACCTCGTTGCAATCTAGAAATGTTTTCCAAACCACAGACTAATTAAACCTACTCAATATCAGTTTATTTCATAAGTGAAGTTGTCTGCAAAATGTCGGAGTACATCAAGTGTGATTGTATGCCGAGCCGCCGAATTACAAAGATCACAAGACCGATGACGAGCATGAGTGACTACTGGAACAAAGACAGACAGCAGGAGCTCTGCCAAGAGGTTCGTTGAGCACTCTCTCTTGCTGCTCCGTTGGCGTTGACACTGGCGATGTACTGATGAGTGTGCTGGGTTTTTTTTCACGGCAGTCTCTCGGTTGCTCGTGTTTCACTCTCCACGACAGGAATAGTACACAAACCTTACTTGGCAGTTCATTTTGTCCTGCACGCTCAAAAAATGAACTGGCGAAATAAACTGTAGGGTTATTGAACGCCATTTGAATCCCTACCCCCCTTCTAGATATCACTGGGTGTTTTTAACATGCGGACTTGCAAAACACTGACATTTGACGGTGGCATTGGCACGAGGACATAGATTTAGAACGCTAAACGCAATGCAGTGGAATTCGCACGCAGATCACTCAGCATATGATTTTGGTATAACCCCTTATACTATAGCCCCAATTGTTATCAATATCTAGGAACACTAATAGATATGAATAGGATGATTCACGTGAATTGGCGAACAGTTGCACCCTGTATGTATTATGAGGTCATGTCCCATGCAGTATGTCAAAGAAATATACGTAAAAATGATCATTCAAAAGCAAAATTTGGTATCTAAACGCGTTCCACAGCCGTAGGTAAAGCAGGGTTCAATAGCGTTGTTGCTAGAGTAGTATGAGTGGCATCAAATAAAGTCAAATGTTTCATCGCAAATGCTATGAGTTTTGCTGTTCGAGATCAATAAGCGGACTCGAAGACGAATGCGGAAGGCGGTTCTCCAATGGTGGCCGAGGTGATTGAGAGCAACCCTGATGAAATTCGGCTGATTCTTCTCCAACTCTGCTCTCTGTCCCATGCCAAAGCTTCTCAGGGGGTAACTGGGAAAAAGGAGGTAAATTCCGTCCGAAAGATGATTGTGGGGGCGGGCTGCGCGTGGGAATGTCCGTATTCTGAGACTGAGCAAAGATAGCCGGGAGGAAGAACATGACTCCCCTGGACCGCTGGCGCCGGCTACGAGACGGGGCGCGTGGTAACGCGGGTGGCTCTCGAGACAGATTCAAATAACCCGTGGCACGGTCTCGCACGCGACGCACAGCATCAAGAATGGATGACGGCGCGCGATAACTCGGAGTCGAAAATATGTCCACAGAAGATGAAATGTCAGAGGGTGCGGGTGAGTCTGCTCTCAACTCGAAGGGAAGGGGCAGTAATGAAACATGTTCCTCCAACGGCGACTGGAGAGCGGAGTTGACGGGGGATGATGGTTGCGTAGAAGCACCAGACGCTGGAAGGAAGGACCACCGCATGTCGATGTGCCAGCGCCCATTACGCTGAGTCCATCTAGGCAAAAGGACATCATATCCTCCAATTCTCCTGAGACTATACTTGCGTTGCTTGCTAGGGACCGCGAGCTTGTAGATGCCATAGACTAGTATGACCAAACCCAACCACATCAATCCTTTGCCCCACGTATTCAAGAAGCCAATTAATGCAGCATCGTCGGCATGCCAGCTGCTGCCGTAATAATGGGCGAAGAAAGAATGGGGAGCTTCTTCTGGCTTGGCGTTCTTGCCGTAAAGAGATTTGGGGAGGATTCGAACATCTCCTGGTGCGTAGGGCATGATAGGATGTGACGCAGTGTAAAGGCTGTACTGAATTGAAAGGAACATGGGTCCTGTGGAGAACATGACGGTGGGATAGTTTAATATCCAGGAATGGTCAAATGTGACAAGGTTGTGGATAGTTTGGGAGAGGAAAGGATGATGCTTTTCCGCAAACATGAGGTCATTGGAAACGCCGACGGGTATGGTCTTTGGTAAAATGACGGGAAATACCAATAACGGATCCAGAGGTCGCAGGCATCCGACGTCAAGGTCGAGGTATATTCCCCCGTAGTGGTAAAGGACAAAATAACGAATAGCATCAGCTCGTTGAATCGGGAACTCGTAGTCGTCGAACGTGTCAAGAAACCAGGAGTAGTGCTCTGCAATGAACTCGCGGGAGCTGGCGTCAGTCCAGAGCATGTAGTCACTGTTAGAATAACGATAAGCACTTTTGGTGGCGGAGATGAAACGGACACAGACTAGTCAGGCATCATGTTTCGACATGCCTCAGAGAGGTGTTTCCAGTCAGCTGGAAGTGTCTCCGACTTCCAAGTCTGGTGAATGATACGAGGTATCTTTTCAAGCTTTCCATGTTCCGTTGCATTCCAGCGTGTTGTATTGCTTAACACTGGGACCTCCCTGTCAGAAAGATATGCTGCAGCATTGATATAAAGGTAGTAGGAGATGGAAGACAAGACGACGACGGTGCCGAGTAGGACAAGAGCGAGGAGAACGAGGAGGATGTAAATTGCACGTCGTTTTGCCATGAAGGGGAGGGAAGAAAAAGAGAGAGCAAAGAGGAGAAACTTGCTAAACAAGAACCCAACCGAGAACAGAAAGTTCATTTCACCCTTACCAAATTTGGACGGTGATTAAAATATCAAATCATCAACATTTCCCCAATATTGTAAGCAATGTATCCTGATACTACTTACTAGGCTTAGCTATAGTCGACTAGTAATACTGACCGACTCAGCCTCATGCTTATGGTCTGTGTATGTCATGATGGCATCAGTACTACTGCGGGCGATTCACAGCCCCGTTGGCCGCATCGGCATCGCAAATACACGGCTGATGTGAAGTTCTGCGGCAGGTACCGACTCACGAATAGATCCTTCTTGCCAGTCATCGCCTATTTCCCTCAGCCCCTTTAACGCCGTCTCCCAGTCCCGTCGGGACCAATCTTGGCCTCTCCGTGCCCCCACACCTTCGTACGGCCGTGTCATGAAGGTGTCCACCCGTGGACTACTCCTAGGCAGCCGTTTCTTCCCTCCCAGGTAGTCCAAACAATCTAGAGCACCCCACGTTGCAAAACTCTTTCTTGAATAGGAAGGTGCATATTTCGATGTTGAGTTGCTACTGCCAAAGCTCCGCACGTCAGAGCCCGCTACACGAGCAACTAGTTCCAGAAGCAACCCCGTGAAATAATCGATCACTTGCAGGTGGAGGAGATCCAGTGAGTGGCTTGGGTGCAGAAGTTGAGGTACAGAAGAGGCATCATCGTCGACATCCATTCCGTCGTCATCTGGCTCCGGCGTAGGTGTCGCTTGTATTAAATTTTCCAGTGAATTCCGGTATGTCGGATGATAACCGCTGAATCTGAAGCGAGAAGCCTCAAACCCAAAGAGAGCTTGAGCAATGTCACGGCTGGAAAATGTGTTGCGACCGGGCGATATCGTCAATATACCTTCCCGCGTCGGTTACGCATGAGAACTTTGCGCATGACAGATCATATTCATATACCTACGTTCGCTTTCAGCTTCCACAGTCAAAAGCTTGTCCTTGCTACACAAGAACGTTCGCCGTTGCCATAGGAAATATTTGCAACAATCGATGATCAAACTATCGTTGCTACGTTCAGAACCAAATTCCTACCATCAAAGTGATCATCAAAGATGGAACAAGGACTTATAACGACACTTACCAGTACAGCATCCAGGTCCCTCTTTTTCCAATTTCCCGAGGATTTGCACGTCTCATTCAAGGCCTGACCTTTGACTGACCTCCGTTCTTTCACTTTTTTCAGCAACCATGATGATGCTCTACGGGCAAACCATGAAAGCCTCTCGCGATTCTTCTGCCTAGCAAATCATTATCAGATAAGCACTCTTCATACAGATTCGTGCAATGTGCCACCATACTCACCCATCAAGCTCGTAAATCACGACACCTGGGATAATGACCAATACAGGCAGTCCCTGCTCTTCAACCTCCGTAACGAATGCTTGTATTACATCAAGATAGTCCAGTAATATGTTCGTATCAAGGACGACGACGGTCAGTTCCTCTGATAGAGGACCCTAGGGGTGGCGTGCAAACAATCAGTACGGGGTCTGAGTTACAGAAGTGGGACAGGCCAGGCATGATAGTGTACCTGCATTTCGACATCTCTCAGAGTCAGGCTGTTTGAGAATTCATCGTCGATACTCTTCAGCGTTTCAAACAAATGAGTGCTCGGCAGAGATGGGGCTGCGATTTCGGGTAGTAAGGGACATTTGAACTTGAATGAGTAATAAGCGATAGGATCCTCACTGTGCTTGAAATCCCCACTTCCAAGACCAGGTTGCTGTAGTGACGAAAGGTCAGAGAACGACATCGGATAGAACGTACTAGTTGTTGGTTGAGTTGTTGCATCCAGCCGACAGTGAAGAAACGAGTTTGCTGGGAGAATGCGGAATGCGCGTGAAACAAAGACTACAAAGTACTATGTGCTAGCCGGCGCTTGCTACTGAATTTACAATAATGTCATTCCGACAACTCGGGCACCTCGCAATTATTTGGAGTCAATTCAATCATGATGTATATGATATGCGTTTGTTTAATACATGTGATGATGCTCAATAAGTATTCCAATAAAGATGTGGAAAGTCTATAATCCAACTCTCAGGCTGCAAGCGCCATCTTCTTCATAGGCGGTGTTCCATTACTCTCCATTTTTACAGACGACCTACCGAAATCATCGATACTCGCCTTGCGCTTGAGCGTAGCGCGTTTAGAGTCGGGGGACCGGGACTGGGAAGACCGTATGCTCGGGTTACCCTTTGGGGGCGTAGCTCTACAGGCATCTGGCGTGCCAGATCTGCTCCGACTGGTTGTGTCTTGCCGTAATCTCGAAGCCAGAGTATGCTTCGAACTCATAGCTTCAGCATAACATGTTGCATGATATATCTAGGCAAATGAAGACGGTTATTGAGATTCTCATATCGTGGACGAGCCGAGACGCACCTTATCATCCTTTCTGACAGCGTTCTTCCAGACCCACTCCTCGTCATCTTCTAGGAACTCTGTCTTCAGATTCTCTTTACATATGGGACAAGACAAGGGTTTCGCTTCGTCGCCCGATGGCACAACAACGAACTGCTTGCGTAGCTCAGCATCACGTCGTGCTGCATCTACCGCAAGCGCAGCCTTATTGGTAGTAGGCCGGGGACCGTCAGCACGGCCTTTACCCTTCACATCCACACGACCTCCATGAACCCAATCCTGTAAAAGACGGTGAGTATGCTTGGGGTCCAACAAAAAGGGAAATCGTACATCAAGGTCGACAAACCAACTGCGACTGTGTCCACGGCCAAGGCTCTGATTTGCTTTACGGTTTTGTCTGAAGTGCATGTCAAGATGATCCTCCATCTCTTTCTTTCCTAATGTATCATCCGAAAATCTGATACCACATTGCTTACACTGGACGGGCAATCGATCATACAACAAACGGTCAATATTAGGACGTTTTCTGCATTACCACATTAACACTAATCAGCAGCGAAAGGGTATCAACCATACCTTGTTATATCAACGTTCGTTAGCCTAATGTTCTGCGACAAAACTGATTTGCGATATGCTCTTGCAGCATCCCGACTCAGGTTTTCAGATGTGGTTGACGATGCAACAGTGTCCTCAGAAGTGACGGTCGCTCCGGCACCAACGGGCGTACCAGTACCAGCCACAATACCGGCCTTCAGAAGAGCGCTGTAAAGTCCAGCGATATCAGTTGACGGGACACCTGTAGATTTCACACTCGATAAAAGAGATGCAGAGTCGACCGGTTCGGATTTAGGTTGATTAACGGATGGCAGGGCGTAAGACGCATGAGTAGTAGAGAGAGGGTGTTGTGATACTGGAGGTGGGAATACAGATTGCGTAGCTTGGCGAGGGTATGCAGGCTGAGCTTGGTATTGATATGATGTTGTAGTTGTCGGAGGAGCGGCCGCGGCAGGTTGAGGAGCTTGTGACAGAGATCTCAGCTGGGTCAGGATTTGACGAAGCTCATCTTGAGAAACACCTGCTTCAACAAGCTTGCGCAGCTGAATTGCTCTAAATAAGCGTACAGACAATGACGGCGCACGATGACGCTTACCTGTTGCAGAATTTGTACATGCCTCTGTGCAGTGGTATCCCAAGCATTTGATTGTAGGGCGCGTTCCTTTTGGCTCAGGGTAAATTCAAGTTCGCTCAGGACTTGTGCTCTCGATATCTGGCCAGACGTTGCCTAAGAAAGTACGTTTAGTCCGCTAAAGCGATGGGATCGTCAAAGCTAAACTCACCCCTGTTGGATTCGAATCGCCACCCCATATTCCACGCTCAATGGCAAGTTGTGGAATGACACCGAACAGTTCCTTGCCAGTCGGAGAGGCGGTTCGCCAGGTCAAAAGCATTTCTTCCATCTTGCTACGAGTCGCCTGATCAACCTGCTGGTAAGTTTCCAGGAATAAACCAATAACGAAGGGAGCAAAATGGCGCGTATACGGCTCGTAGACATTCTTCGAAATCGCGTCAAGTAAGTAGAAGCCTGGGAGCTTAATCCATGGAGGAACCTAGCGATGCAAGAAAACCACACCAAAAAGGAAAGCATGAGTCAGCTTCATGTCCATAATACAACCCGGATCAGAAAGAAAAGCATTGAGCTGCCACGTTGAGAACAGCGACATAATTCTCTTAGTACGACGTCCTCCATCCGCTGGGCAGCGGGGCCACCAGGCCATGCGAGGATATCTTTACTCAAACTACGAGACAAGTAACTAAGTACATGGTAGAACCACAAAGCGACGCAGAAGTAACAGATAAGAGCCATGTGTCAACTACCCAACTGACAGTAACATGCCATAAAAACGATATCAACGATGACTCACCCTTCGAATGTGGGCCTCCAAACATTGAGCGACAATCTCAGCCCATTTTGAATACTCTTGGGCAATCATCGATAAGGTCTGAATGATAGGTCTGGAGTTAATGGTGAGCTCTGCCAGTCGCGCTGCATAATCACGGCGAAAAGAATTGGGATCCACAAAGTAGACAGGCGCGGGAGGTGGGGGCGGTTGCTGGTAAGGGTAAGCAGAAGGTCCGGGCTGATGATAGCTTGGTGGTGGTGCATAAGCCACCTGCCCATACATGTGGGGCTGAGAGTACATTGGGACAGTCGTTTTTTAAATTCTCAACGAAGCGCGAGACAGTCACCGCAAATGCAGCACGATCTCACCCAGAAAGTGAGAAGTAAAGATCTTCGTAAAAACACAAAACTCTTGAACGATCGACTGGCGCTAGAAACCCGTTTTTCCAATGGCGGTCTTACTCAGCTGTCAATGACACGACCACGAAGCCCAACGGAAACGATGATGGTGGTTTGAGTGAAGAAGCAGTGTGACAGACGGCTGACAATAGCCGCTTCTAATTAGACTTTAAACTCCGCTCGCAATTGTCCGCCACTTCTGTCCACCCCCCGAACATACACAGCCGCCCACCGACCTCAAGAAAACCAACGATCGCAAGGTGA